TCCTTTTATAAGCAGTCATTTCTACCTTCTGTTATAGACCAATGGAATAGTCTTCCACAAAATCTACGATCAAATCCGTCTACTTCTGCTTTAAAATCCTATCATGACAAGCAACATACTAAGAAAACGCCTACCTATTACAACGTTTGTACCCGCAAGGGCCAAATATATCACGCACGACTACGAATGGAGTGTAGCTCCTTAAATGGTCATTTATTTGCTAAAAATATTGCTCCATCTCCATTATGCATGTGTGGTGAAGTCGAAGACAATAAACATCTTTTATTGGAATGTAACAGGTACGATCAAATAAGAAGTAGCTACCTACAATGTTTGCCCCATAATATAACATTGTAGTTATTATTATTTGGAGATGATTCGTTTTCATTGGCTGAAAATAATTTGATATTTCTAGCTGTACAGAATTATATTCTTAAAACTGGCAGATTTTCTATAACTGAATAATATGACATGTAAACTTGTACAATATATATCTTACCCCAACCACCTTAATCTAAGGAAGTTCAAACTATCGTATTATCCATTAATTATTGGTATGAATGGTGTTATCACGTACTGGATATATTAGTTGCTGTTTAGTATACTTGGTGATAGGTTTACATAAGTGTCTGTGACACTTGTTGTTATTTCCCTTTGTCTTTTCTGTTCATTGTAGTAACATGCTTGAACTGAAATAAAAGAAACTTTAAACTAATCAATACAATTTGAGGAATTCGCAGGAGCTGCCTTATCATGCGCTAACTACTAGTGCAAATATCTCTCTATGTGTGTTTGCCTGCGTGTGTGCTGGAGATGTAATGTGCTCTGTTTATAGTGCCACCTCACTTGAATGCTACAGCACAGATACCGCAACATGCACCTCAGACCAATTTAAACTCCACATGGGTTGTTTTGGAGTTGTGTGGGCAAGAGAAAAACACTTTCTCTGAATATTCATGGGTACGATAATTTCTGGTAACAAAACTTTATTTATTTTTTTATTTTTTCATTTTCTTTCCTTTTTTAAAATTTCATTCAATTTTATTTAATTTATTTCATTTCATTTATTTTTTTATTTTGTTTTCTACGTTACGTCGACATACTTAAGTGTGAAAATATGCATCCTTCTATGTATTTCTATGTCACAGTGTGATCGCCTGACTCTGCTACTGAACTATAAGCCCCGAGGTTGGCCGTAACCTTGTAGCTTGAGTCCAGTCTGAAAAGAATTTCCTTAAATACAAGTTTAAAAATGAATTATCTGTTTTATAAGACGTGGTTGTGACAATGTAGTACTTTTTATAGGCAATTTACTTATGGATTTGTTTCGTTCTTTTGCTCTTTAGTAACACTGATGGTTCCGAAATAGACGTTACGGCCATATGGTGCAATACAATTTTATCTTTTTTGGCTCTCTGATTCGATATAAAAGTGGCTTTTATATTAAATGTCTCCTTCTATAAAGTTTTTTTTTCCAAAATGGCCTTTCCTGTCATTTCAATTTTCTTTCGGTGAGGTGTAGACCGAAACCCTATCACAACAAAAACACCCATTAAATTTGTAAATGAGCACTTGGTTCGTTTTGCATGGAACCATAAAACTTAAATTCTTAATAAGTATGTTTTTTCCCCCAAAAGATTAATGTTGTCAAACTGACAATACATTGACAGGTCCTTTATGATGCCACTAAAACTAGGGACCATATAATGCAGTATACATGTTAACCTCCCTTGCTACGGTGAGTTATAAGATATTTACAGACAAATCAACATCCAGAAGCCATCTCAAGCAATGATAATTTCCGACAAAAAAAATATGTTCATCTTATAATAAATGTATCTTACAACTTTTGCATACCACAGATATTTTTAATTATTTTAATTAATTACAAAAATATCAATCCAAAATATGTGGTGGAACATATTCAACGAATGGATCAAATGAAAATCATTTTGACTGACAACTTACAGAAAAGAAGAAAATCTTTGTTCCAGTTTAGATGGAACGAAGCAGAACAGAGCAGATGTTCGGAAAAGATTCGTTGGTTCATTCCTTTTCAAGATGGCCGCCAAAACATTCATTCTACTACCAAATCAGTTGTCAGACTCCGAGATAACTTTCTTGCAATATCAATGGAGTTCAGAGATTGTGTTTGTTTGTTACTTTGTTGATATATTTTAAAGTTAGACGCAGCATTAACAGCTGATGACATTTACAGATCATGTTTTGTAAGATGCAAGAGTATGAGATATGTTCAAATGGCAGACTTGGAAAAAAGAAGGAAGAGAATAATGATGCGAGGCTTTGATCTTGTTTTCAAACTGGTGATTCCAGATTCACCAGTAAACAACTTATTTCAAACTTTGTNGGGGGGGGGGGGGGGGGGGGGGGGGGGGACATTTCCACCTATGTCATTTTAACATAGCTGAAAATAGTCCCTTTCCGATCTTCAATTAAACAGACAGACTACGTACACGGTATCGGACCAGAAGTATTCTAGACGTTGTGGGTTTTTTTTGTCTCCGTAAATTCATTGGAGGTTATTATTCTGATACATGATACTTACAGTGACGACTAGCGAGTAATCTTGAACAAAAATATAAGAACTGGTGTCACNGGGGGGGGACAAAAGCAACGGTCATATAAGGACAGTTGTCTGGGAGACGCAATACAACTAATATCATAAACGGATTGGTGTCTAGGGAGACAACAGCTAGGGTCATATAAGGACAGGTGTCTAGGGAGACAACAGCCAGGATCATATAAAGACAGGTGTCTAGGGAGACAATAGCCAGGGTCATATAAGGACTGGTGTCATGGGGGACAACAGCTAGTGTCATATAAGGACAGGTGTCATGGGGGACAACAGCCAGGATCATATAAGGACATGTGTCTAGGGAGACAACAGCCAGGATCATATAAAGACAGGTGCCTAGGGAGACAACAGCAAGGATCATATAAGGACAGGTGTCTAGGGAGACAACAGCCAGGATCATATAAAGACAGGTGTCTAGGGAGACAACAGCCAGGGTCATATAAGGACTGGTGTCACGGGGGACAACAGCTAGGGTCATATAAGGACAGGTGTCTAGGGAGACAACAGCTAGGGTCATATAAGGACTGGTGTCACGGGGGACAACAGCTACGGTAAATATATGTTTAAAACCTTTAAACAACTTCTTTTGAATAACCAAAAGGCCTCGGATGATGATATCTAGCCAGCAGTATGCCAGGATGAAGGGCTACCAAGTTTGTTCAAATGAATGACCTTGGCTTAAATTCAAGGTCAAATGGGTCAAATATGTTTAAATTTTTTAAACAACCTCTATTGAATAACCAAAAGGCCCAGGATGTTGATATTTGGCTATCAGCTTACTTCGATGAAGGACTACCTAGTTTGTTAAAATTAATGACCTTGACATTTATTCAAGGTCACAGGGGTCAAATATGTTAAAATCGTAAACGACTTTTTCTGAATAACCAAAAGGCCCAGGATGATGATATTTGACCAGAAGCATGCTTTGATAAAGGGTTCCCAAGTTTGTTAAAAATGAATAACCTTCACTCATATTCAAGGTCACGGGGGTCAAATATGTTTACAAATTTAAACGACTTCTTCTGAATAGCCATAAGGCCTTGATGACCGTCTTCGACTTTCAAGGTCACAGGGGTCAAATGTTTTAAAATCTTTTAATAAGTTCTTTTGAATGACTTATAGTCATAAATACTGATATTTTGCCAGTAGCTTTATTTTAGATCACTTTTAAGGTTACAAGTGTGAATTGTTTCACAGAGACTGTTTTATATTTGTGATATGTGATATTAAGCAAATATTTCAATCTTCGTAAGACATTAATTTTCTTCATAACATAACTATATAAGATTAACATCCCCCACTTTTACGCTTGAATCAAAAACTACTGATATATGTAAAATTTCAATCTTTTCAATCAACACTTAATCTTCCTCTATTTCGATAGAATTTGAAAAATAAATATTTAATCAGTTTTGTCTAGATTAAATGTTACTAACCAAGTTTTAGACCATAAGTTTAAAGACTCCCTATTCAAAATTCACGGTTTGAATTTCAAGGCATGATGATGAATATGATGTCAATAAAGAGTTTTCATCTGCAAAAAACGAGCGGCTGATTCAAAGATCGACACAGGAAATATCACTATAATGACATTAAAAACAAAAGCGGTCCAGAATGGAACCTTGAGTAAGCCCTGATTCATTCAAACCTAATTGAGAATAAGATTTAGTTAAGAAAACCTATGTTGCCTATGACATAGAATTTTCTAACCAGGTATATAATTCACCGTAAGATTTTAACTTCATCATTAAACATTTATGCCAAACGTCCGATCGAAAGCCTTAGAAATATCACAGAATACCAGACATACAATTTGTTTTCTTTAAGAGCAATGCAAATGTTGTATTATTATATATTCAGCTGATATATAGGATCAGCATGCATAAAATCAGACTGGTGCTTATATAGACTAAAACAAAGATTTGTCTATGATATAAATATGTATAGGTGTTTTTGAAGATGACAAGTTCAAAAACTTTCCCATTGGTAGACAAAACGGAAATTAGCCTATGTTTATAGGTTAGAACGAGAATGATTGTCACCTTTCTTAAACTGTGGCATGACTTTGGCTATTTACCAAGTGGTTAGAAAATTAAATCTCGATGAAGACATGTTTAAACTACTAACTGTCAATTCCATATGTTGCCAATGCATGTTATTTAACCCGGGTTGCATTGGTGGTAGGCTAAATGACGAATTTTAAATAAGCGTTCATCTTGTTGATCTGTTCTGCGTCAGAAACAAAACTACATCTAACATCTCAAATTGAATCAATTATCAAATTATTTGAAGCTTTATCGATATCGGTCGCAACGAAACAGAGACGTAGGCCTAATGTATGTTTAAAACAAACTATATTGTAACTCTTCTATGTTTGGAGGCGAAATAATCCATATTATGAAAATTGACAGCTGAGTGGGAAAGAAGAAAGAAAGCGTGAGTGACAATAGCATTGTGTTCCTGATAGTACAACACAAAGTCTCTGAAAAATATTCTTTAAAAGCAATGGATGCTGAACGACAGTCTTCTTGATTGGCTGGTATCATTGACAGGAATAACTCGTATTAAAGGTAATACTTTGCAAAGGTCATTTTTCGCGCAGGCAGTGTTGCATAAACAGAAAAAATATAGGGGCCTATTTTATTTGCAAACCTATTTCATGAACATTTATATGTGATGAAACGATCAGTGACAAAGCTTATTTGTCAGAACGAAATGGTATAATTTACTCGATCAATAGGAACACATCAGATGCTATTGTTTCGTGATTTCCAACATTCCTCTTCACCTGTCCACATGTCCAGTACACTCTACCGATTGAGCCAAGACCTATAATAGCTCTATTGACCTATCTTTTTTTAAGGAAAACCAAACAAAGTCGCTTTTAAAAGAAGATTTTATCATTAGGTTGTTAACAAAAGACATTTTTGTAGTCAGCATTACCATAAACCTTATTGTTTTATGCGACTTGTCTTTAACTTAATGAAAATTGAAATCTGAGAAAATATAGCTCAATACAGCTGTAATTCATAGGTGAATTAATATATAGCTATATAGCTCAATCAGCAGAGTGTACTGGACCTGCTCTTTATCAGCTGTTTAACAAGATGTAAAATATGGGTAGCCAAAAACAATATACAGTAACGTGTTATAAAAGTAACGTGTCAGAACCGACTTTTAACACGTTAAAAGTAACTTCTAAAGCGATACTTATTCAAATCTTAAAGTAACATGTTAAAATATTTTTAACGCGTTTAAATTCACATCTAACACGTTACAATGGTAAATGCACTGGCCAATCAGAAAAATCGTTTAATAGTTGATGCTGATGACTTATTTTACAATTTGAAATCACAACCATTTATCATGTATACCAATTCCACTGTAGCATCAAATTAATTAGATTTCATGTTCAATTTGTAATTGTAAAGTTAAAATTTCTTTTCTTTTTGTTTTGATATGTCTAAAATGTGGAAAGAAGGAGATGAAATTATGAAAACTTAGTTAATACCATTGAACCACGGAATTAGATTAGTTATCTAAGTCCGTGATTGAACATAATTTATTTTTATTATCTGGTCATAATTTTTACAGATTTGGGGTTTAAAAAGAAGCAAGATCTGTAGTGAGAAGATAGTAAATCAGGTCAAGGTTGTCAACAAGGGGAGGTAACCACTGATCAGCTTTTCAAGGAATGGATAGAGTGCATGACTCTGTGGCATGGTACCAAAAGAAGGTAAGCTTTCATTCACTTAATAACAAAAAGCATCCGAGATCACGTTCAGCTCTGACTCCATCCATTAAATTATTGCCGGATTCTTGCCATAAAATGTGGTATGCCAATTTTCAATGGACATTTGAAACATAATTTAAATCAGATTATTTTACTTAATGATGCTTTCTTACGTTTGTAACAAGGAGCTGAAATCTGTTGATAGGCTTGCAGGCTTAATCTGTAGCTTAATTACAAAATCGGAATCATCGGTGCATTATTGAAACCAAGTGTCAAGTGTATATAATACAAAGTATGCATTAAAAAGTCACTTATTCTCAAATTTTAACTATACGGTTGAAAAAACTGCCGAAAAGTTGCTTAAAATCCAATCATTTTTTAGAACGAAACCTAATGTGATGTTTACAACTCTGTCTATTGATGTAACAGTAGTGTAATCACTTCATTTGCAATATTTGTATATTCAGTCTCATAAAATTATAAACCAATTATGCTATCGATCAATTCACTACTACTGAATACGAAAGGATTATTGATTATTATTTTGAACCATTGCACATCACTAAGTAGTCCATGTAATTTTTGTAATATCCTATTGTTTTCAGATAGGATCATACGACAAACATATTTGGGAACAGTCTTCTGAACAGAAGATCTTAAGGGTATGTATGTTATTAAAATAGTTATACTTAGGGCTGCAACAATACGCATACCTCATGATATGATATGTATACCAGTACCATGCTTACAATACGATAAGTACCACGATACAAATCTCTGCTTAAAAGGTCAACTTCATAATGATTGAGTGGAGGATTTTATCAAATTTTGTCATAGAGTTCAATGGTGAATACTATTGAGAAATATTTTTGTATCAGTTCTAGTACTTTTAGGTATGACTGCACAGTGGACCGATCCTCTTTACTGAAGGATTAAAAAGATATAATTACTCGTTTTTAGAGTTTGATCAAATTTGATTGAGAATTTAATTACTGTTAGTGTATCGTGATACAGACAATCAAACAAAATTTGATATGATAGACAAGAAAGCATCACAATACGATACAATACCATACAATACGATATGATACGATACGATACGATACGATACGATACGATATATTGTTGCAGCTCTAGTTAAGGACTACTCCTACATAAATATTTACTGCCCAAACCATGTTTTCATGAATATCATGCTTCCCCTGTGGGAAAAAATTCAAATACTAGGTAAAATGTTTTATGAAACAAGCCCCTGGCCTTTTGGCCAGTTGTTAGATTATTTTCTGTCAGGTTTATGGGCAATTCCTTTACTCCGTTTTGTGTTTCAGAGTATACAGCTTGCTCCGCGAAGAAGTGTCCGTCAAAAAATAGAACTCATCGACGTTGATCTTGTTCGAGGTGAGTTCATGTTATTGTGTATTATCCTATGTTACCAGTGATAAATATAAGCCCTTTTTATGGAGTTGAGGTTGTAGGACTGGAACAGGTTACCGACTAGCCAGTCGCGATTCAGGTACGAGATTGTCATGTTAGCAAGTGCGAAACTACGAGAAGAGGCTAATGCAGTCTTCCTTAGAAAGGGGTTAAATAGAATATTTGGTTTATTCTCAAATTTAAAAGGGAAGGGATTGTTTCAAAATAAAATTTCCATTTGTCAATCTGTTCATGTGTTTACATTGCCATTGAATTAAGGTTCAAAATTCACAAACTGAAAATAATTAGAAATCAATATTTTCCAAAAAATTTGTTAGTGGTAATTTCGCCTAGTAGGTAAGCTAATTGTCTAAAAGAAATGGAAATTAAAAAGTATTTTGTGATAATGTTTCCGCACAATATCTCAAGTAAATTTGACGGATTAACTTCAAACTTTATAGGAAGGCTAATTACCACGAGAGCTCGGACAATTAAGTTGGATAGCCGCCATTATCTGACTTTAATTGACAGAGTTATGCCCCCTGAATTAGTTGTAAGAGTATAATAGACTTATTCCCCTTGGTTTCATAAATGCATTCCAAGATTTTTTATTGCACTCATTTATCTACAGGTATGTTGAATTATTTCTCCTTTAACATCCATTTCATTTATTTCAGCAATAAAAGCGACGGCTCATTCAACGTGTGACAGGCATATTATGTACCACTTTGCGGTATATAAACCTTGTATACAACTTGTTTTACTTGAGAATGCAGCATAAATATCATTTCTAATTTCAGGTTCAACATTTTCCAGAGCCAAACCACAGGTGTCATGGACAAATATAACCCTCAAGGCCATTGTGAAAGTGGTCTTTTTTCCTCTTTATTACAAATGGTGAGTATCGATTTTCAATCTCTTCCAACCGCATCCCCTTTCTCCTTCTTACCTGAAAGTGTTTAGTTAGAATAGTAATTAATGATCAACCTTGAACTCATTCCCTTGAAACAGATATATATTAAGATGGTGGGGAAATCGTTTAATGTTAACTTTTCTACGGAATAAGAGTGATCAATCAACTTGCAATATTTTATTATATATTTTTAGCCCGACCGTCATCAGATGGTGGGCTATTCAAATCACCCTGCGTCCATGGTACATCCGTCCATAATGCAGTCGTTCCGTCTGTCATAAATCAATTCTTGTTAAAGCTGGAGGTATCTTTCTCAAATTTCACATGAAGGTTCCCCCATGATCCTTATTGTTATGCATATTGTTTTTTGTGACTGATCACAAAACCAGGATGACCGACAGCCAGCCATCTTGAATTTGAGAGTTCAAGTTTGTTTGTTCTATTTCTCAGAAAGTACTGGAGTGTTCTTTCTCAAATTTACATGAAAGTTCCCCATGGTCCCTAGTTATGCATATCATGTTTTGGGACTGAAGAGAAAACCAAGACGGCCGACAGCCAGCCATCTTGAATTTGAGAATGAAAGTTTGTTAGCGTTATTTCTCTTTCTCAGAATGTATAGGAGGGGTCTTTCTCAAATTTCACATGAAGTTTCCCCATGGTTCTTAGTTCCGCGATTCAAATTTTTTGGAATGATTGGAAAATCAAGGTGGTCGTATTGAATATTGCTCAAAAGCATTTGGAGGGATCTTTCTCAAATTTCACATTAGGGTTCCTCTTGGTTCTTAGTTATGCATATCAAATTTTTGGACTGATCTGAAAACCAAGTTGTGGACAGGTGGCCATCTTGTTTCATTTAAAGTTTGTTATCGCTATTTACTGGAGGAATCTCCGTCAAATTTGATATGTAGGTTCCCCTTGGTCCTTAGTTGTGCATGTTAACTTTTCAGGTTGATCAAAAGACTGATTAAGATGGCGGACAGGCAAACTTGTCAAAAAGATAAGAGAAAATTAGAGAAAAGATCTTACTGACCTAGAACTAATGAAGATGGTACGATGGTTGGTGCCAAGATCCCTCTGGGATCTCTTATTTATTTAATAATTCTTTGTTTAGGGTGGGGGGNGGGGGGGGAGCGGGGGAGAAGATATAACTGATGTAACAATCTTGATTCCTCGCCTACAGGTGGCTACAACAGATGCCAGTAGAGATGTTTGTGTTCCTGATGGTGCTGTTTGTCATGCAGATCATCAGTCTGTTCATCTTCTTCAGGAATGTTGGAGGCAGCATAATGAAAGATGTAAGTGATTCTTGTCTCACCAAATCCATCCTCATCGCTGTGTCATATAAAGATCGAGGGTTATAATGTTACTGACACAGTATCAGACGTACTGAATACCAGGACACTTTCACCCTGTCAGATATTTGCCCTTTGCCTATTAAATCCATGTTATCACTGTGTTAATTTGACCTTCACATGTTATTACTATATATTGTATACATGTTGTATACTGATATTCAACAGGTGGTCGGGTGGTGCAGTGGATAGCGCACTTGCCTTTCACCAAGGCGGCCGGGGTTCGATTCCCCGATCAGATTTGAAAAGGTTGGGGTCACCTGCCCGACCATGCAGGTTTTCTCTGGGTACTCCAGTTTCCTCCCACACTAAGACCACCCACGCGCAAACATCCGGGCCAACAAGAGTGATTAATATAAGTTGAAATAACTTGTTTCATAATTGTTGAAAAATGAATAAAGTTTATATAATATTCAGTAAAACCTGGTTATAACATACCCAAGGGACTAAATTAATGAGTTCGTTATAAAGGTAGTTCATATTATGCGTAAAGCGATTTTTTTATGTTATTTTAAAAATTAAACATTGCAATATGAAAACATATATAAAACACTGTAAAAACACAAATCTTTCGGCAATATTTTGATTTATCTCAACATATCTTGTATGCTCACAACGCTCACAGCGTGGTGTTTAGAAAGTGGGTTCATATTACGGTTTTAGAATAACACTGAATTTTACCTGAGAGGACCACTCATTTGCTTCGTAATAGACAATAATTCGCTATGTAAGATTTGCAATACGATTAAATAATTGCATAGAAGTAAGAGGGAGATGAGCTGAGGAATCAGAATGATTTCACTACACACAGGAAACTGCAATAAGTGTGTTTGTACTATATTGTTTTACTGTTCTGTCTCCTAGGGGAGAGCGAAAACTGCAGCAAAAAATTCCCAGTAAACAGTAAGCAGTTATTTACATGTTGTTGATTACTTGTTGTTGACACAGGAGCAGACGCTGTCCGAGGTTGTGATCCCTGCCATACTAATGTTGATCCTAGGTCAAATACATTCCCAAACCGTCCTGTCCCATTGCTCCCATCGATCTCAACACCGGGACAACAAACTGGCACGCAAGTCCTCCACGGGGCTCATCAGGTATTCCTACACTGACGAAAGAAATCTGATGAATTCTGTTGGTGACTCATTTGGCTACGATTTTTTTTTGTGCAAAGTTTCTAGACATTATATATTACGATGTCCAAGGAAAATATTGAATTTGTTTTCTGCTTTTAAAACAGAGAATGGTGTCTTTTTCATGTACAAGGTGTAGTGTTTTATAAGGCAACTAGCATCAGACGTATCAGGTTTCAAGCCTAATGCTACTGACCAACCTAAAGCTGTATTTTTGTTCCTTTAGGAATACAGCTGGACGTGAAAGTTCAGTGAATTTGACGCTAAATTTCTGTAACAATCTGGTAGTTGTACTGAAAATGTGTCAAATTGGCATTATTTTGCTTCTTTTTTATGCCCCCGCCATAAAATGGGGGGCATATAGTGTTGCCAATGTCCGTTCCGTCCCGATTCAATGTAAACACTTAGCAACTTCATTCTTTCACAAGTTCTTCAAACGTTATACAAAGGTCAAGTATGAGTATATGTCGAAGATCGTTGTGTTTCAGGGTTCCAAGTTCAAGGCCAAGGTCACAGTCGTTATATCGGGGACATTCATGTCTTACAGACATTTTCTAGTCTTTATCTGTTAATGGGTCTTATGACTTTTTGCTAGAGTTCTTGGTAAGTACACCTCTTAGTTCATCACTTGTTGATCGCCCACCTGTTACTGTTAGGGGGTAGGGGACTATTAGTTTGCATTCTGTCTGTCTGTCAGTCCTTCCATGTTCTGTCCGTCAGAAAAGTTTATCAGGGGCAAAGCTTCCACGTTTTCACCTGGAATAACCAGATTTGGATTGCAAGTACATCTTGGGATGCTGGAGTGCAGACTATGAAAAGTAGGTCACTGTGATTTAATGTATGCTGTGACCTCTGACCTTTTTAAAAAGTTTGCCGAAAGTTTCTATACTGTTTTTCCTTGAGTTACCAAATTTAGTATGCAGGTATATTGTGTGATGAAAAATATTTACTGTACCAAAAGCAAGTCACTGTGATATTTGTTTTGACCTCTGACCTCATTCACTGGAAAGATTTGCCCCATTCTGTATCTGAATATGGTACTTTTTTGCACAGTAGGTTGATCCTTATCCTCGATATCCAGGGGTTACGCTCACTTTCGCTCTCTACACCCCTGGACTATGTCCTAGCAAAATTGAAGGCACACGGCTAGATTTTGACTAAATTTGGTATGAAGCACCCTTGGATGAAGGGGAACCAATTTTGTATAAAAGGTGGGTCTGAACCCTCTGGGGGCAGATAAGTGGGGCCAAATAGGGAAAATAGAAAAAATAGCTTTTAAAGTCCTTCTTCTGCTGTAGGAATGACAGGATTTTGTCCATGTTTGGTCTGAAGCATCCTTGGGTGAAGGGGACTTAATTCTGTATAAAGGGTGGGTCTGAGCCCTCTGGGAGTAGAGGGGCGGGGCCCAATAAGGGAAACATAGCAAATTCTCAAAAACCACCTTTTCCTGTCGGATTGACAAGACTTTTTCCAATTACACTACCAGCAACATCTTGCTTTTTTAAATTCAATTTTGCTGACATTTCCAGGTGAGCTCTGGGCCTCTTGTTCTTGAAGAATATAGGATGTTTTTTCCTTCTTTTTCAAAAACATTGACAGATTGCACTATAAAGAGAATATGTGGTTTGTGGTTGAAAATGAATAACAAAATATTTAACACAACTATTCTGTAAATAATGAATTCATTAAATGAAAATGATTACTTTATATCACTCATATCAATAGTAGCCTTTTTTCACAATTTTTGTAGTGTGAAGTCAATCACGCTTTCAATTTTCTTGTGAAAGTTTAAGATACGTTAAGTTCTTATTCTAAGTGCAGTCAAATTTGAATTAGCACATTTAGAATGTTAACGGATGCATGCTTTTGTAAACTGATGCTCTAACAATATATGAAATAGAAAACAAGGTATAAATCTTCAGTAAGTGCAATCATAAGGAAGCATAGTATTTAAAACATGAAAAGTGCTAAAGTAAGTTGACAAGTAAAATATAAATGTTTGTAGTAGGTATTTGTGTACTTACTCTACTAGAAACAGCAATCTTTGGATAGCATTTTGATAAACACTTAATAAACATTTTTTGAATTGAGTTGATAATATCAGAATATTGAAGATAAAAGGTTTTTTCTCTCCTGATTGCAGGGAATCCAAGATCAGAAACACCAAAATATCGGAGGTAAAACGTAGTTTTTCTGTTCCAAGTCAAACAGTAGGAACAATATATGAAAATGTTCCACAGAATTCCAGCGCAGACCTAAGCCAAACACCGAAACACAACAGAAAACCTGCGACAGATAGACTTGTTTCCCACAGTAAAGTGGATGTAAAAAAACAGAACGGTTCTGTAGATAAAGCGAAAAAACAAACTTTTCCAGATAAATTAGGTACAATCATAAAAACTGGAGCAAACATCACGGAACACAAATCGGTGAGCTGGAGCGACGCCTACTGTGTGAAAACATCGCACATTGGTGGACACGAAAGTCCGGACACTGACGCACGTACTGACGAAGAGGACTATCCAACGGAGGAGAAGGGAATCTCGGAAAAAGAACCAGGATCAGAAGATGAAACAGAAAATTTGGTGAAGTGTTCAAGAAAAAATCTCAACAGTCCCGAAGTTGTGGGGAGTTTAGAAAATGGTCTCAGTAATGAAATCTCGGTGAAAAAACAGAATGGATTAGACAGTGTTGAAGTTGTGGAAAAGGACTTCAGTATACAGGAAGTAGTTACAGCTTGTGTTGATTTCAAGGCAAAAATAAAGGAAAACAGTACTGAATCGTACAATACAGGCCAGTACGTAAATAATGGAATTAAAAGAGAAATCCACGACTCTACACTAACAGAGGAACACAAAAGAGTTGGAGAAACATGTGGAAACCTGACTTCAGTTCTTAGACCCTCTAAGCATGGCCCTGTGAGTAACGGCCAGATTTTGACTTCCGGAAAAAGTCCTCCAGTACCTACCGACATTTGTTTACCAGACTCGGCAGATGGTAATCAAATCTTGCCCGAGAAAAATGCCTCCAAATGTCGCAGTGTTGTGAATGGTGCCAAAATCTTGCTCAAGCATTCTTTGACTTCATTTTCTAACGGCAGTGACGATGTGTTTGTTGATAATACCAATGATGTTTTAAAAAATAACTTAGATGATGAAAATGCAAGCGACTGTAGTCCCCAAGATACAGAGTCTGTGTGCAACTCTAGTCATGGCAGTGTGGAATCAGGTTCAATGAAACGTTTCATATCGTCGCCCATAATAAATACAAGCAGAACCCGGTGTGAAACGGGTTCAGATTCAGATGATCCTCGCGACAAGGCGATATCTTACAAGGGTCTGCGGAGGAGGAAAAACACCAGCCTGCAGGAAGATTGTCAGGAATCCAATACCTCAATCTTCCGATCTCGACGTCCACCATCTTCTCTCAACATGAAGACCAGGGAGAGCAAGGGTAGCACTGGGATCAGTTCTTCTGAAGGAGAAACTGTCTACACTCCAGATGGTAGCAAGGTACAGTTAGACAAAATAAACCCCTTTCAGTGACCCCCTCCCCCCTCTAACTCTTCTGTACCCCATGGTTCCCTACTAACCAACACTGTGAGCTATGTATGATATTTTTCTTTCACTTCCTATTTAAAATGGAGGCACAGTAGACTAGTGGTAGGACGCCGTGCTCGTGGTTGAAGGGTTGCGGGTTCGAGTCACATCACAGCACTGTGTTGTATCTTAGAGCAAGATAACTTTACTCCGCATGTTCCAGTCTACTCAGCTGTAAATGAGTATGTGGTTGGGCAGTGCTAGAATTGTGGAATGCTGAAATGGCAGCACTGGCTGTATGCTCCCCATGGAGTTGAGAAAGATATTGGCTGGTTGCAAAGGCCCTATAACCATGGATAATTATGTGTGAACCGCTTTGAGACGACCTAAGAACTGGGTTGTGATTATTAAACCTCGAATTGTTATTAGTATTATTATCATTATGAAAATTACAATGGAACAATAGTATGGGAGGCGTTCCTGTTGATGGTAATAACACACAAGTACCGGTAAGGAATATGGCTAATACAGACATTTGTACCAGACTAGGAAGACAGTTTTCGCATAACAAAATATGTTAGAAAAATCGGAATTGAATGTATTACAATATAATATTATACCAGCCAATTCAATGTGTTTTAAAAGAAAATAAAAAAAAATCTTTCAAGGTAATATATATACTTGGTATTATCTTACAATGTGGTACAATGAATTTCCTGTAAGATTAAATAACACATTTTTCCTACATACTCATTGGTTGGGTCACAATGATGCAGAGGTTGGTTATTTGTGATATTGACTCGGGTTTACTATTTTTAGAAACAGCAGGTCATTACTTATTTTATGACATTATTTCAATTGTGACGTCACAAGGCTTTTGTCAAATGCAGTACTTTTCTCTATACAATTTTCATACATTTTATCTTGTCTAATGATTAAATTATTATTTGGCCTCTCATATAATAATTCCAGACTTTAATTTTAGTGAAAATGTGGTTAAATGGGCCTTAGAAAGTAGGGGTGTCACAATACGTCAAGAGTGTATCACTATATATTGAAATACAGAAGGAATATATTGCGATATGTATCCCGATATATTGTCAAAGGAAGGATGTACACAATTTCATAATAAGTTGTTGTCAGAATGTTATCAAACTTAATCATATATATATAATATGGGTTACATAGATTTAAGATTTTTGTCAAACCAACCATCGATTACAATATTTGAAATATTCAAAGCCTGCTTTATGCTTATTGGCATATCTGACAGAATTTGTAGTAATTTGTAAAGTTAAAACACCAAGCAGATCCTATACTGTGATAAAATATGTTAAATGGGAATATCCTCGTCGTTATTAAGTCATTGTGTACACATAGGGAACCTGTTAGAAAAAGACGAAGTCATGGTGTTATACAAAACGTAAGTTTTTCCACTTGAATGAACAATGTTTCGATCAATGTTTGTACGTTATAGGCTGGAGCGAGTTCTGAAGCGGAATGGGAGGATCGTGTACAGTCTGACATTACCACCTCGACTTACTCAAGCAGCTCGGCCTCGGACAACGACATCTCCGAGAATGACACACATGAGGTCATCGAGGAATCAACCACTGATCCCAGCCTGCCACCAAGTGCCAGCCCGTCCGTCATAGCAAGCGAAAGAACGGCCAAAGTTACAAGCAGTTTGCATGTAATTAATCTTCTACAGCCTGTATGTACCCCTTCATCTTACTTCATGGCATGCTTTACTAGTTGTTTCCACAAACAGCATGCATTAAATAATTGCAATTTTGTAACAGCAATTTTCATTGGACTAAACAAAATAGATTTCATGTAAAAAACTTTTTCATTGGTTAGTGACCCAATTGTTTTCATACATGAGCAATTATCATTGCAGAAAATAAAAATAACATTTTAAGCGTAAAAGGACAGTATTTTCCTTAGATTATAAAATGATATTGTTTCCTGTCAGAATAGTTTTCATTTGTCTTCATAAAAAGAAATAAAACAACTAAGATATGTAGTTAAGAAGATTTTTTTTTCCTTTTATTTATTTATTCATATTGATTCATTTATAAAATTGATCCAACTATTAAGAGAATGATATAAACTCTATCTACTTACATATATTTTCAGAAGTAAAAATTTAAATGTTTTTTTATTATTGTCAGAAATTCAGAATGTTTAATCCAATTTGGAATTGGCCATTACATTTTATTACATTTTATCCATTTCTACGCAGTCCATTCAATTTAAATTATATGTTTATTACATATAGTCAAATAGCTTAGTAGTTTTGAAGCTTGAATTTTTCAGCATGAATATTTTGATTGTTGTTTTGATGTCAGAGATATCGGTTAACTCATTCACCCCTGAAGACACATTTGAACTCTTCCAATTCAAAGGATGGAATAGTTCATTATGAAATTTCAGGGATGAATGAGTTAATAATAATTCTGTTGTTACCCTTAATTTTGTTTCTGACTTTTGAAAAATAAAAAAAAAAGACAATAATGATGATGATGAAGTTCAGGGCCCAGTTGTTCAAAAGATGATTAGCTTATTCAGTGATTAGCACAAATTTCAATTTTTGTGTATCATTAAAACAAAACCATTGAGTTAGTTAAAACTTTCCAAATAGCAAATGTTTAGTAGAGTGAATTTACATGCAAAATTGTGAGATTTTACCTGGTATATTGACAAAATTATTACAGGTGCAAAAATGTTCTTTAACAGTGATTACGCTAATCACCTTTTGAACAACTGGGCCCAGATGTTTCTTGCTAAAAAGAAAAGAACTGTAATATGATTATATTTTGAAGGAAAAGATTTAGTTAATGAATAAAATGTATTGAAGTATGGAACGAGATACAGGCAGGAAGTCTACGAGTGCTTTCTTGATTGTTTGCTGTGATTCGAATTTGCTTGAATTAATTTTGCTTTCAAGACCAAAAAAAAAAGCTTATTTTTCTGCTAAATCAAATATCAAAAATAAGTTCAAAATATTTGAAACAAAATGTGTGTCTCTTGCTACCTATTAATTTTCATCACATCTAAAATTAGTTTCAATCATTAGTTCTCATTCATAAAATTAATAAGCAACTACGGAATACATATTAAACCAGTGAAAGTTATTTCAGGTATGTATTTTAACAAAAAAGCCTTTTTATTGAAAGGTAACCCTGGTCCATTGCATTTTCCAGGTGGTAGGTTTTAATAATGTCTAATATAGCTGTTTATGAATAGTAATTAGACGTTTTATAACTTTATTTTTCAAAGGGAAACTATCCTTCGTTGAGGGCTCGATCGCGCAGTTGTTCTGTGACCAGCGGAGGCTATAGAGGGCCGTCAGAACACGTTAGTGTCTCTGTAGATTATGTGTCCATGTACCTGCTCTCATTAACCAACTTGGTCGACAGGGTTTTTGCCAGGTGTATACAGGGTCCTGTACAGGAGGAACCCATTCCAAATTGAAAAATGACCCTGCATTTGACCAATTTCAGTCTGCATTTTCCCAATTTGATTAAAAAACAAGTTTATACAAGTTTCCAGACCTAATACATTTTTGTATGTGCAACATTCAAAGTAAAACTGTCCATGAAAGAGGGGTCTGCGGTGGCCAAGTGGTTAAGGCATCTAAGAATATACTACCACTAGCCCTCCACCATTGGGTCGTCGGTTTGAGACCTACATGGGGCAAACACTAGGTACCGGCCATAGGTCGGTGGATTTTCTCCGGGAACTCCGGCTTTCCTTCACCACAAAAACCTGGCACGTCCTTAAATTACCATAGCTGTTAATAGGACGTAAAACAAAAATAAATTAAACCGTGAAAGAGTACCTGGTATTAAAAATTCCTGAATAACGAAAAGTTGAAATTGATTACGGGTAAACATAAACACTGAAAATTGATTTGTTTATTTATTGCTATACATTTACTGTAAGAAACATCTAGAAGAGAATTTTTGGCAAATCACATGTTTTAATTTTTCCAAACTTATGATATTTTCCCCAACCTGTACATGTGGAGGGAACACTGATGATGTTTCCCAATTTTTACAAGTTCCTGCTCAGGGACCCTTTCACAAAATAGCTGGCGAAAACCCTGGTCAAACTTCCGTCATTTACAACTATAACGCTCGGGAATCAATTCAGATCATTCATGTTCACTTTCACTTGTTTGAGGATGCTAAGGACGGCCTCTCTACGAAACAAAACTTACTCCAAGGATTTTAATCTCAGAATTTCATTTGATTACTTTTTGTTTTTAATTTATCATAATTTTAAAAACAATATATTTTATTTTGGGTATTTTCTTCAGCTAGTGATTAATTTTATGGCCAAATTTAAATTATATTTACTGTGTTTGTATGTAAAACAAAAAGTGAACAATCGTGAAATTTCAATTGATACTTACAACACCTCTGTCAGTGGCGGATTTACGAACCTAGGCGCTTTACGTGTCAAAACTGTTTATCACGAGTTGTTTATCCACGTGTTTGAGCCCAATCACTTAAAACAATCCAGGGTTTGAAATTAACATCTGCAAGCATGCCTAACTCATTCACCCCTGACATTTCATAATGAACTATTCCAACCTTTGAAATGAAAGAGTTCCAATGTGTCTTCAGGGGTGAATGAGTTAATGTAAAGTTGTGTTAAATTTTATGAAAGTCATTTTTGTTCTACACCTGTAGTTTTCTGCATCTATTTAACAATTGTGTTGTTTAATCATGCAAGTTAATACCAATACTTTGAATACATTTATCTCAAAGTTTGTCAAAAGCACATGTATATATATATACATTTGAAATCTGCAAAATCCATACCAGGTTATTTGATCGGTGTAACGTCATGCTACCACAATTGGTACACTACCCAAATTGGTACACAGTCAGAAAATGGTTCGAATAGTACTTTAAAATTAAATTTGAGCATTTTCCATCAACAGTATAACAAAATAGATATTTATCAGCATTTCCACTGAATAGTTTTGTTTTCAGGAACATTTTAAGAGTACACGATGACTTCAAAGTAAACATATCAGAAAACCAGTAAAAAAGACTTAGGTGGACAAAATTTTGGAGGATTTTGAAGGGGTTAAATACAAGCATGTTTAAATGTTGATTTCTGGTCCTGATAACCGCATAATATAAAAGTGTATTTATACAATTGTAGTTGAGTATGATACTTATAAAAGCAATAGATTTTGTTGCAATCGGCACATCAACTAGTAGAAATAGAAACAAGTTTCAAAGCCTGTGATATAGTGTACCGATTGGGGTCCTAATCACAGCCGAAAAACAGACGAAATCTCACTGCAATTTTGCGTTCTATTTTCGAAACAAATTACTTAAAATTAAAACATTTTCAGAAAATGAACCATTGTGGGAGTGTGGCGTTAGTACTCACCTGTAAGACTTTGTGAATGTTCATAAAAAGTTCATTGGTCCGCCATTGACTACTGTCAATTTATTTATTTTCATGGATAATTATTTTCGTGATCATACTTCAAATAACAATCTTTTTGAGGATAACCATTTGCCAGAGAGCTAGTAATATATGTACCAATTTTTGCGCAGTTTGACTAGATTTTCATGGGACATTTGAGAAGAAACAAAATATATGTACTGGTTTGTTTTCTTGTGCAGGAGGTTTAAATTCACGATTAATTCTCTGTGTGATACAAATGGGTGCAATATTTAGTGGGGACGCGAAAATATATCACATATGTTCCAGAACCTGAGCACCTGTCTGGGCGGTATGTCCTGATTTTCATATCGGAATATTTGTAAGAAAATGTCGGTAGGCCTAATTATTTCAATTTGATACACAGTCCTACAGTGTATTTTAGATAGCAATTAACTGCCGTATTTTGTTAAGACTAAAATGCATGACCAGCAAGCGATGGTCCATCTATTGTTTTCCACTGACTGGGGTGAAGCGAGGTGTGAACAATTTACCTGGAGTGGAGAGGTGATCATCTCGGGCAATGTACAGTTAGCCGGTCCGTTTAGTTTTCCAGGTTTCACACAGACAACTTACCTGAGTTTTCACCTTATAAAATCCATTCATGGCAGAAAAAATATATCATACATGTAATAAGGGGGGTCCTATACCTTTGATCATATCATAAAGATATTTTTTTGCCTAGTTAAAGAAGGAAAAAATCGGTACATGGGAAAAATATCATGATAACCGATATATCATAATAACCAATATATCATAATAACCGTTATATCATAATAACCGATATATCATAATAAGTGGGTTCCACTGTACTATGCAAAAGTTGTTCAAGTATAACATTATTGTGTATCAAACTCCTTGCAGATTGAAACTATCACGACAATAGCAGGAATACATTTTTCTTGAAAAAGAACTCAAGATGAAATAACTAATAATTGTAAGGGGGGGGGGGGGGGGGGGTGGGGGGGCATATCTTATGACTATCATATATATTTTGTTTCAGTGTAATTTGTATGCAAAGCCTAAAAATGTCTCTGTTACTATTTATAGTATAAAGTCAAGGTCCTTGTTACTATTCATAGCCAAGGTCCTTGTTACTATTTATAGCCAAGGTCAGTGTTACTATTTAAATCCAAGGTATGTGTTACTATTTATAGCCAATGTCTATGTTACTATTTATAGCCAAGGTCTTTGTTACTATTTATAGCCAAGGGCTGTGTTACTATTTATAGCCAATGTCTTTGTTACTATTTATAGCCAAGGTATGTGTTACTATTTATAGCCAAGGTTTGGGTTGATTTAAACATTTTTTATTTGTCATTCAACAAAAAGGATTAGGCACAAGTTATCTCAACTAAGAAACGCCCTCTCCTATACATTTCATTATATTGATTACATGACAACAACAACAAATATATTTATAATATATATGAACAAAGAAGAAAGGTAGGGAAAAGGGAAGAAAAAGAAATTTAGAAGAATAAGAAAGAGAGATGATAGGATAATACTACTGACCTTAAAATCTTTTACTATTTTTAATGTAGGTTTGGACTATATGGAAGATATTTTCATTGTCTTCATCTGACAAATTTGGAGAACCGTACATAATAACATTTAGAGAAATATTACAATAACGTGAGATATCATCAATCAAAATTTGTCTTTGTCTGATATACAGCATACAATCAAAAAAGTAATGGACTGCATTTTCACACTCATTTCCACATGCACACATTGGATCACCTACAATATTAACTCGATCTATACAAATCATAATTTAAACTACTACATGAATGATGCAATTGTGTATGTAAAATATTTAGTTTTCGATTTCCTACATGAAAAAAAATAGGCAACAAGTAACCTTTGTTTCGCTGAATCGATGATTTAAAAATGTTAACAGATGGCTGCTCTCTGACAGTATTTGGTAAATCGTTCCATAGTCTTATAGAAGAAGGAATAAAGGATTGGAATGAACTAGACAGACGGAAATTGGGAACAGTGTAGTTTTCAGTATTTCTCAAGTTGTAGCTATTGCGTTCGCATACTTTAGGAGGAAGAATGTTAGTTAAATAAGAAGGTGTTTGTTTATTATGGAGTTTGTACATTAGGGAAAGTTTCTTAAGTTTTCTTCTTTTAGATAGAGGTTCAAGTTGGGATTCTTGATACAGTGATTGTTTACTAGAAAAAGAGGGTAGGCCAGTAATAATTCTTGCTGCTTCAAGCTGAACTTGTTCAAGTTTAGTTAGATCTGCTAGAGAACAACCATTCCAAACTTCACAGGCATATTCCAACACAGGCAACACAAATACTTTATATATTCTTAACAAAGTTTTCCTACTCAACAGTAATTTAAGCTTTCATAGTACTGATACCTTTTTCATGCATGTTTTTTGAATTTCGGAAATATGTAAAGACCATTTTGCATCTGCACTAAATATTACGCCTAAATGTTTATGACTTTCAACACAATTCAGAGTCTCAGTACCAAAACAAATCTGTAAAGGAAGTATATTTCGCGAATTAGATATAAATAACACATCAGTTTTCTGTTGATTAAATTTAGTAAGCCAGTCCCGTGACCATTTGTCAAGTTTTTCCAAATCTCTGTTTACACACATTTCAATATCAGCATGAGAAGACGAAGAATACATCAAAGAGGTATCATCAGCAAATAAGCGTGAAATACAATTTAAATTATCAACAATATCATTAATATAAACCAAAAATAACAGAGGACCTAACACACTTCCTTGTGGTACACCAGCATTTGTGTAACCTATATTAGAATACACACCTTTAACAAGAACCTGTTGTTGTCTGTTTGAAATGTAATTTTTAAACCAATGTAGTAAACCATCTCTAATACCATAAGCATGTAATTTATGTAAAAGACCCCTATGCCAAACTCGGTCAAAAGCCTTCGATATATCACAAAAAATTAGACAAGTATGTTTTTTTTCTTCTAATGAACAACATATATTATGGTAAATTTCTATTAGCTGATGGACAGTGGAATGATGAATCATAAAACCAGATTGTTTTTCGTAAAATAAAGAATGATCAAGGAAAAAATTATAGATGTGTTTAAATACAACCCTTTCAAAAACCTTACCTATACAAGACAACAAAGTAATTGGTCGGTAATTTGACACCAAGTGTCTATCACCCTTTTTGAACAGAGGTAAAATAATACCATGTTTCCATATTTCAGGGAATATTTTAGAATTTAGTGACATATTAAAAAGAATTGACAATGGCTTACATATAGAATTCGCTGTAAATTTTAGCATATGATGACTTATAGTATCATGACCAGATGCTTTTCCTAATTTCAGAATTTTCAAAATATCACATATTTCATCACTTTCAACCACAATAGAATCAAGTACAGAATCAGTTCTGGAATCAAAACTGGGTAAAGATTTGCCAATATCATCTATGTTTGAGATAGAGCTAAAATAATTATTTAGAATATTTGCTTTCTTATCATCATCATATTCAATATTTCCATTGCAAGGATTAACTAGAGGTGGAATGACCTCTTGAGAACCCGACTGTTTTAATAATTTACACACAAGTCTCCAATATGATTTAGGATTACTGTTATTAAGATTATCTATAATATCACCAACACTATTATAAAACATTTCTCTTGCATATTTTTTCATATTATTAACCTTATTTCTTTGTCTTTTAAATTTCTCTAAGTTGGATATGGACTTAACATGTCTAACGGCATAATGTAACCGGTCTCGTAACTGAAAAGCTTTTCTTAATTGGGAATTCATCCACAATTTATCACGAGGTCTTATATAAACTGTTTTTTTAGGTATACATTCTTTAGCAAGTTTCAAAAATTGTTCAGTAAATTCAACACATGCTACATTAACAGAAATAAAGTTTTGAAAAAATGTAGGCCACTCAAAAGTATCTATTAAAAAATTTAACCTATTAAAATCAGCATGTTTATAGGCCCAAATTTCTCGAGTGTAGGTACAAGAGAGATTAACAGGTATAGACAAAAATGCAATACATGCATCATGATCACTTATATTACGATCAATCGGAATTACTTTTAGGCTTGGGTTACTAATTATTTAAAGGCAAGGTTTGTGTTACTAATTATTTAAAGGCAAGGTCTGTTTAACTATTTGTAGCCAATGTCTTTGTTACTATTTATAGCCAAGATATGTGTTACTATTTATAGCCAAGGTTTGTGTTACTAATTATTTATAGCCAAGGTTTGTGTTACTAATTATTTAAAGGCAAGGTCTGTTTTTAAAACTATTTATAGCCAATGTCTTTGTTACTATTTATAGCCAAGGTCTGTTTAACTATTTATAGCCAAGGTCTGTTTAACTATTTATAGCCGATGTATTTAACGGTCAATAAGTTCAGTGAAATCGCAATCCAGCAACTTCATTTGTTAACACGTTCTGATCAAAATTTACACAATTATATAATATACTTCAAGAACCAGAGGTCAAGGTCACTGTTATTACTAAATATAGAAACTTGTCCGGAAACGTACTTACTTGCAATTTTACATTGGAGCGTGGCCAATCATCATCATCTAACAAACATTTTCTATTTTAATTTTGAAATATGCAAAGTTACCTTAATTTTGTATTTTAGTCTTTAACTAATGTATTGAACAGTTGAATTTTGACATTTTGCACTTTTATTTTGTCAAATAGAGGTCATTGTAAGTGTTTTTAGAATGTTTTAATTTTATCACAGTTTGTGCCCTATGAAATATTTGAAAACAGTGGTACATAGTATTTCTTGAATTATAAATGCATAGCATTTCAATATTCAAGCCATTCATGAATGGAAAAGAAGCAAAATTATGCATCAAATTTTGGAATGAAACTTGAAATAATTAAGATCACGATTGCAAAAGGACTAAAGAAAAATAATGTGTCGGTTTCTATTTTAAGTATTTCTATTTGATTTGTGTGTAAAAGTGTGTAAAATCTCGAGTAATATTTCTGCCGTTGTTGATTATGTGCCGTTACAGCACTTTTGTATTTTATTTACAGCCGACGAGTACGACCTCGGTGAGTCCACCTCCAGATAAAGGTATGTTTTACCCAGAAAAATGATGTCATAAATAGCCTTCACACTAATGCGTACCGGGAAACTTTCACCTAGTGTAAATTACGCCCTTCACTAGTCGAATCTCTGTTGGTCCAGTGTAAATAACACCCTTCACTAGTCAAATCTCTGTTGGTCCAGTGTAAATAACACCCTTCAATAGTCAAATCTCTGTTGGTCCAGTGTCAATTATGCCCTTCACTAGTCAAATCTCTGTTGGTCCAGTGAAAATTACGCCCTTCACTAGTCAAATCTCTGTTGGTCCAGTGTAAATTACGCCCTTCACTAGTCAAATCTCTGTTGGTCCAGTGTAAATTACGCCCTTCACTTGTCAAATCTCTGTTGGTCCAGTGTAAGTTATGCCCTTCACTAGTCAAATCTCTGTTGGTCCAGTGTAAGTTATGCCCTTCACTAGTCCAATCTCTGTTGGTCCAGTGTAAATTACGCCCTTCACTTGTCAAATCTCTGTTGGTCCAGTGAAAATTACGCCCTTCACTTGTCAAATCTCTGTTGGTCCAGTATAAATTACGCCCTTCACTAGTCAAATCTCTGTTGGTCCAGTGTAAATTACGCCTTTCACTAGTCAAATCTCTGTTGGTCCAGTATAAATTACGCCCTTCACTAGTCAAATCTCTGTTGGTCCAGTGTAAATTTAGCCCTTGGCTAGTCAAATCTCTGTTGGTCCAGTGTGAGTTTCACCCTTCACATGAAGTTTCTATATAGGGCGAAAAATTTAACTGCAGCGAAAAATGTCCTAGTATAAAGTATTTTAGAGGCAAAGGGCATTAAACAAGGGTCAAAATATTTGTCAAATAGCTTGGTAAGGTTAGGAATTAACAAACTTGTTCAAATGATCAGTGATCTTAACTTAGCAACCTAAGTCCATGGGGATCAAAGTTTAAATAAGTAAAGTAACTTATACTTAAGGCTTCACTTTCAAACTACTGCGTGCATTTCAAGTTCATTTAAAATATATCCAGGCAAGTGATTCAAGGCCAAAGGGTTCTTTTTCTATTAAATTCCCTCCTTTGATAAACTATATTTTGATAACTTTTTAAGTTGATATTTGGAAAAAAATATTATTTCAGTGAGTTGCTTGATCTGGGAAGACAAAGAATGTAAGAAAGTGGAGTTAACCGCCCTAGATATTGGCTGGACGATTATTGAGAAAGTGGACAATATTCCAGAGAGTTCCGATTACCTATGGATTGGTCTGAGTTTCTCCCTGTTTCAGGGCATCGTGCCGTTGATATTCCGACTGTACCATGCCAAAGAGTTCCCAGACTTTCTCACCACAGATGGCCTGTTACGCATATCGTTGCTGTTTATTTCTAATTCCTGGAGGTAGGTAGGACACAGAACTTCAAGCGAAAGGTGCTTCTATGAGACGCCGGCTACGAAATGATGAGTCAATATTCTCTGCAAAAGCCCATGTTATCTATCTCAGCCTTGACATAAAACACAAACAAACCAAACCAAATCATCTCAAACTTTCTCTTGGTCCAATTACAATAGATAAATAGTTTCAGCAAATATGCATGTAATATTTACATTATCACTGCAATTAAGTTCCTCTGTACTAGCATTACCATAATGGCTGCATCATTTTGAAATGGAATAATATAAGACAACTGTTAGAAGCAAACATTCTGATGACGTTAGACTGTTCCAGGAATCACGTTTGCATTAACAACACAGACTCTTCAATATCAAAAATGTCAGGATCTGTATTTAGGTCAATAACAACTAAAAACTTAAAATGTAAATATAAGCATTGAACAACAGTTTTTCAATGTTCATGCCTTCATGAAGGCAAAACGCCTAGCAGGCTTCATGGAATTTATGTAATACTATGTGACGGATTTGCTTATTAATAAACAGCATGAAATTAAAAAAAAATGCCATTCCATCCTTTTTAAAAATTGGTAAATATTTCTTCATTTGTAGAATTAACCTTATAATGGTGAACGGTATGATTCAGAGGCTGTGCCTTGGGGGCATTTTTTTCTTCCTCCTCTCAGTAGCTGATAGAACCTTTAAACAGGTATGTAGTTCGTACTCAGATTGAACAGGTACATAATTCAGACTCCCTCTGAACAGGTACGTATTTCATTCTCCAACTGAACAGATGTGTAGTTTGTACTCAAACTGAACAGATACATAGTTTGTACTCAGACTGAACAGGTATGTAGTTCATTCTCCGACTGAACAGGTGTGTAGTTTGTACTCCAATTGAACAGATATGTAGTTAGGGCCCCATATCGGAGATACAGGTGCTCTATAGTTATAGTAATCATCCTGTCTGTCTGTCTGTCTGTCTGTCCGTCCACAAATTTTGTTCCTGGCTGATAACTTTAGTATTTATTGACCGATGGACATGAAACTTGGTCAAGATGTTCATTTCACAAAAATACACATTAAGGTAAAAAGTGAAGGTCAAAGGTCAAGGTCATTAGGTTCAAAGGTCAAGGTCAAATTTTACATCTTTTCACTGATGAACATTTTGTTACGACATTATGAAGCAAAGTTGATCAGAATTAAACAAGGAGTCAACTGACCAAAGGTCAAGGTCATCAGGTCAGGGGTAGAGGTCAAATTTTGCATCTTTTCACTGATGAACATTTTGTTATGACATGATGAAGCAAAGTTGATCAGAATTAAACAAGGAGTCAACGGACCAAAGGTCAAGGTCATTGGGTCAAAGGTGAAGGTTAAATTTTGTACTTTTTCCCGGATGAACATTTTGTTATGACATTATGAAGCAATGTTGTTCAGAACTAAACACAGAGTCAACTGACCTTAGGGCCAGGTTACGCGGTCCAAAGGGTCAAGGTTAAGTTTTGTATTTTTCACTGAACAACATTTTGTTATGATATTAAGAAGCAAAGTTGGTCGGAATTAAAGAATAAGTCAACTGACCAAAGATCAGGGTCACTGGTTTAATGGTTAAGGTGATTTGGGTCCAAAGGTCAAAGACAAAGTGGATCTTTGACTTTGACCCTGGCTCTTGATGGAGGAGGTATATAAGGTGAAATAAAACAAATCAAAGCTAACAAATGAGTATTGCACCCGTATTTACATTTCTGTTAGCCCAGCAAATATGGAGGTGGAAGGAAACAAGACTCACATCATAGTACATGTAAAATGTATATTTTGCTTCCTTGCGATTATTTTTGAAGTTCAAATGTCAAACGTCAAGCTCAGCTATATGGGCAGATTGCTTCTTATGGGGGATATATTGCCACAAGATGGGGCCCTTACTGACCTGTCAGTGTTCTAGTTTGTACCCCAACTGAAAAGGTACGTAGTTCATTCTCCGACTGAACAGGTGTGTAGTTTGTACTCCAACTGAACAGATATGTAGTTCGTACTCTGACTGAACAGGTACATAATTCGTACTCCGTCTGAACAGGTACATAATTCGTACTCTGTCTGAACAGATATGTAGTTCGCACTCCGACTGAACAGGTGTGAAGTTTGTACTCCGACTGAACAGGTGTGTAGTTTGTACTCCAACTGAACAGGTATATAGTTCGTACTCCGACTGAACAGGTATGTAGTTCGTACTCTGACTGAACAGGTGTGTAGTTCATACTCTGACTGAACAGGTACATAGTTCGTACTCCAACTGAACAGGTATGTAGTTCGTACTCCGACTGAACAGGTGTGTAGTTTGTACTCCAACTGAACAGGTATGTAGTTCGTACTCCGACTGAACAGGTGTGAAGTTTGTACTCCGACTGAACAGGTACGTAGTTTGTACTTCGACTGAACAGGTATGTAGTTTGTACTCCAACTGAACAGGTATGTAGTTCGTACTCCGACTGAACAGGTATGTAGTTCGTACATTGACTGAACATGTGTGAAGTTCGTACTCCGACTGAACAGGTGTGTAGTTTGTACTCCGACTTAACAGGTGTGTAGTTTGTACTCCGACTGAACAGGTACGTAGTTTGTACTCCGACTGAACAGGTACGTAGTTTGTACTCCGACTGAACAGGTGTGTAGTTAGTACTCCAACTGAACAGGTACATAGTTTGTACTCCAACTGAACAGGTATGTAGTTCGTACTCCAACAGAACAGGTATGTAGTTCGTACTCCAACTGAACAGGTACGTAGTTCGTACTCCGACTAGTCAGTCAGGACACAAGATATTGACTTGTCCACCGGTCTTTGACGGACAGAAATGGACTCAATACAGATGTTTGTACTATGTAGCTAGTCCCCTATGACAAGGGCAAATTTTATTCCAGGTCTTATATTTCATGCCTCCAGTATTTCTTGAAAGCTGTTTTAGAAGCCTATTGAAGAAAGCTATTGGAAAATTGCTACCTTTTCCAGGAGTCCAACTCAGAACTACCGCTTAGTAGTCAAGTGCTCTAAAGGAATATTAGCTAGAGCCCATTCATTTAAAAGGAACAGGATGCTTATTTCTACAATTTCTGAAACAATTTCACCTGTATATAGTCTACATCTGTCTATAACTACCACCTTGGTTATGATTCCAGGTTTACAAGACTTGACTTTAGATATTGGCGACATATTAAGGGGATGAGCCTACTGTACGGCGAGATTTGCAGCGGTACATTGTGATTTTACTGTCACAAATTCAGTTAAACTGGCGATGCGGGGCAGTTTAAAACAGATATACACATGAATTTGCGACAGTATAGTCACAATATCAGAACAGCCACAAATCTCAAAATACGGTAGGACTATCTCCGTTCTAATTAAAATAAGCTAAAGTCACCAAAAGAAACGACAGTTTTAAGATGTTTTTCGGTGTTATGCCATGGCAAATTCTTTCGATTGGCCAATCAAATTCCATGTTATTTATTTACTTTTTTTGTAATTATTATATATTTATTACATTTTACAGCGTCTGCTGTACGCCAAACACTTCTGTTACCTGACCTCGTCACGACGAGCGAAGAAGTTTGATATGCCTCACTTCCGTTTAAATAAAGTCAGAAATATCAAAATCTGGCTGTCCTTGCGATCCTATCTCAAGGTATTGTAAAGATTTCCACACTCCTTTGTAATACTCATAATTTTTCTCTTTTATGAAGAAAAAAAAAGACATTTTAAAACTTTGTTTTTGTACTTTAGTGTTCTCGTTTGATAATATTATACCGACTTAAGCTTCTTTTGCATCTGTTTTTCTTTGAAAATATGACATTTGTAATTATTGTTCATTTTATCTATTCCTGAGAAAATTTATGCAGTATTCCTTCAGATTTGTAAATAGTCTGTAGCTTGTTTTTAATAAGTTATATATCATAAAGAGTTTCAAAAACTGCAGTGTTTCATTTTTTGTGTTAAATGAACTTACATCTATTAAAAACTACTGATGTGTTCATGCAAATATTGTTTATATCGTTTATTTTACGTATCTACAAACCTTTTTTCTGTTGTAGAAACGAGGTCCACAGCGATCGGTGGATATTATTGTATCTGTGACGTTCCTGTTGACAATTATTATACTTACCTTGATGTGCCTTCAGGTAACTGTGTACTTTATTGTACCTTAATTAGCCAACTTAACTTAGTCTTAGCTCACTTACAAAATGTCACCCTCACATCGGCTTAATATCACCCTCACATGAGTAATCTCACATGAGCTTAATATCATCCTCACATGAGTAATGTCACATGAGCTTAATATCATCCTCACATTACTGTCACATGAGCTTAATATCACCCTCACTTGAGTACTGTCACATGAGCTTAATATCACCCTCACATGAGTACTGTCACATGAGCTTAATATCCCCCTCACTTGAGTACTGTCACATGAGCTTAATACCACCCTCACATGAGTACTGTCACATGAGCTTAATATCACCCTCCCTTGAGCACTGTCACATGAGCTTAATACCACCCTCACATGAGTACTGTCACATGAGCTTAATATCATCCTCACGTGAGTAATGTCACATGAGCTTAATATCCCCCTCACATGAGTACTGTCACATGAGCTTAATATCACCCTCACTTGAGTACTGCCACATGAGCTTAATACCACCCTCACATGAGTACTGTCACATGAGCTTAATACCACCCCCACATGAGTAATGTCACATGAGCTTAATATCATCCTCACATTACTGTCACATGAGCTTAATATCACCCTCCCTTGAGCACTGTCACATGAGCTTAATACCACCCTCACATGAGTAACGTCACATGAGCTTAATATCACCCTCACATGAGTACTGTCACATGAGCTTAATATCATCCTCACGTGAGTAATGTCACATGAGCTTAATATCACCCTCACATGAGTACCTTGTCTTTCTCACATGATTCTAATGTCACCCTCACACAAGATTAATGTCACCCTAATATAATTTATCTCCTCCTCACATTGAATGTCATTCACATGATTCTAATGTCACCCTCACACAAGATTAATGTCGCCCTAGCATGATTTAATTTCACCGTCACATAGTTTATTTTAATGTCACCCTCACATAAGTTCAATGTCATTCTCATGTGAGGTTAATGTCACCTCATATGATTTTAGTGTCACTCCACTTGAGTTAAATGTTGCCCCCACCAAATTTTAATGTCACCTTCATGTGAGATTAATATCACCCTTACATGAGTATAATTTCACCCTTATGTGAATTTAATGTCACCCTCACATGAGGTTTAGGTGTGGACACTTATAGTGACATGAGATATTTGAATTTTAGCTGTTGAAAGATGTGGACACCCCCAGTGACACAAGAAATTAATATTTCAGCTGTTGAAAGATGTGGACTCCCAGAGTGACATGAGATATTTGTATTCCCAGTGACATGAGATATTTGCATTTTAGCCCTTGAAAGATGTTGACACCCACCGTGACATGAGATATTTGCATTTTAGCTGTTGAAAGATGTGAACACCCCAAATGACACAAGATATTAATATTTAAGCTGTTGAAATATGTGGACTGCCAGAGTGCCAAGAGATATTTGTATTCTCAGTGACACGAGATATTTGTATTCTCAGTGACACGAGATATTTGTATTCTCAGTGAAACGAGATATTTGTATTCTCAGTGACACGAGATATTTGCATTTTAGCTGTTGAAGGACACAGACACATATCTGGATTTCCTGTGTAACTGGGAGCTTCTTGTATGGTGTATGGCCCTCGGCGTGTACCTACTCCGCTTCATGACCCTCGGACTCAAGATCAATAAGAAATACCGCAACCTGTCAGTACTCATCACAGAGCAGATTAACCTGTATTTACAGATGGAACAGAAACCACACAAAAAGGAGGAGCTCATGGTGGCCAATAACGTCCTCAAATTAGCCGAGGACCTCCTCAAGGTAGGTCATGGCTATAAAGGTCAGGTTCAGCCGAGGACCTCCTCAAGGTAGGTCACAGCTATAAAGGTCAGCTTCAGCCGAGGACCTCCTCAAGGTAGGTCACAGCTATCAAGGTCAGGTTCAGCCAAGGACCCCCTCAAGGTAGGTCACGGCTATAAAGATCAGGACCTCCTCAAGGTAGGTCACAGCTATAAAGGTCAGGTTCAGCCGAGGACCTCCTCAAGGTAGGTCACGGCTATAAAGGTCAGGTTCAGCCGAGGACCTCCTCAAGGTAGGCCACGGCTATTTAGGTCAGGTTCAGCCGGGGACCTCCTCAAGGTAGGTCACGGCTATAAAGGTCAGGACCTCCTCAAGGAAGGTCACGGCTATAAAGGTCAGGTTCAGCCGAGGACCTCCTTAAGGTAGGTCATGGCTATAGATTCAGGACCTCCTCAAGGTAGGTCACTGCTATAAAGGTCAGGTTCAGCCAAGGACCTCCTCAAGGTAGGTCACGGCTATAAAGGTCAGGTTCAGCCGAGGCCCTCCTTAAGGTAGGTCATGGCTATAGATTCAGGACCTCCTCAAGGTAGGTCACTGCTATAAAGGTCAGGACCACCTCAAGGTAGGTCACAGCTATAAAGGTCAGGACCTCCTCAAGGTAGGTCACGGCTGTAAAGGTCAGGTTCAGCCGAGGACCTCCTCAAGGGAGGTCACGCTATAAAGGTCAGGACCTCCTCAATGTAGGTCACGGCTATAAAGGTTAGATTCAGCCGAGGACCTCAAGGTAGGTCACGGCTTTAAAGGTCAGGACCTCCTCAAGGTAGGTCATGGCTATAAAGGTCAGGTTCAGCCGAGGACCTTCTCAAGGTAGGTCACGGCTATAAAGGTCAGGTTCAGCCGAGGACCTCCTCAAGGAAGGTCACGCTATAAAGGTCAGGACCTCCTCAATGTAGGTCACGGCTATAAAGGTCAGGTTCACCCGAGGACCTCCTCAAGGTAGGTCACGGCTTTAAAGGTCAGGTCCTCCTCAAGGTAGGTCATGGCTATAAAGGTCGGGTTCAGCCGAGGACCTCCTCAAGGTAGGTCCTAGCTATAAAGGTCAGAACCTCCTCAAGGTAGGTCACGGCTATAAAGGGCAGGTTCAGCCGAGGACCTCCTCAAGGTAGGTCACGGCTATAAAGGTTAGGACCTCCTCAAGGTAGGTCACTGCTATAAAGGTCAGGACCTCCTCAAGGTAGGTCACAGCTATAAAGGTCAGGACCTCCTCAAGGTAGATCACGGCTATAAAGGTCAGGTTCAGCCGAGGAGTTTCTCAAGGTTGGTCACGGCTATAAAGGTCAGGTTCAGTCATAATATAAGACTCTTTCATGCCCAGGGGTGTAGGATAGGTTATTTCCACCTGTGGGTTTTTGCCAAATTTGAAAATCTCGAGTTTGGAATTTCCCTATCTTACATTCCTGGGCATGAAAGAGCATTTTTCTCTCATTCCAACTACCAAAATAAGCTCGGACACTATGAAAATTGGTTTGGACTGGCTACCATTTGGAAAATATCAACATTTCCTATTTATTTTATATCAACATTTCCTAGTTATTTTATATCAACATTTCCAATGAGTTACTTTGACGAAAAGCACACACACAGATATGTCAGTGAGATTTAGCACACCCTGTATTTACAAACATATAGTCTGTACAGAAAAAAAAAAAATATCATCTTTCCAACTTCTATGGTTAATATAGTGTAAATGATTTTAATTTTTATCACGTCCCCTTTTCCTTCCGCATTGCAGCATTAAGACTTTTCCAAATTTGTAACGTCACGTCATTGTTGAGCAATTGTGACATGATGTCATGTGACATGGGGTGTAAAATAGAAATTTCTTAGAGCTGTTATAACCCTTTCTTACCCTGGACAGCTCTATCTTACACAAACGGACATGAGAGAAATATTATTATATTCTTAAGGTAACATATCATGCCATATAGAATGCTATTTGTCATTATGGATGTCGGCATTTGTTTATGATTGAGTCAGCAAAGGTCATATTGACATATATTACTGTAAAATCTTTTTGTGGGACATTTAATTTCGTTTATTTCGTAGTTAACAAAATCCACGAAATTTAATTCCCACAAAAACATAAATTTGGTATGATATATATATGGGAAAAACAGAAATCAGCATTATATAATGTCCTTGAAACAGGCTTGTATATGAAAACCCTGAAGTTGTAATCCCACAAAAATAAATGATTCTACAGTACTTGTTGATATTGGTATCTGCAATTAGTTCAGGATCTGAGGCACATTGAGGCAATGTCATATACATACAGGTTGGTTTATGTGGAGGACGATCTGCACGAGGTAAGGTGGAAATGTCAAGGTCACTGGATTTGGATATCTGCAGTTTGATCAAGGATCTTATAAAGATTAGGGTCACGGTCAAAAAGAGTTATGTATAGATTGTACGAAGGTTATATATCACAACCAGTAAGTGTTTTACATAAACACTTACTGGTTGTGATACATAACATTTGTACAATTCCTATTGACCAACCAGAAGAAAGTGTTTAGAAATAAGAGTCATATATATAGGTTTTAGTGATTGAGCCAATGTCATATTAATATCAAATCTCATTAAGATAATTTCTGTTTTAATGTCGTGCACCGTTTAAATGGTTCCTGTATGTAGTTGTTATTTTTATCCTTACTTGCAGGAGCTGGAGAGTCCCTTCAAAATCTCGGGTGTCTCGGCCAACCCTGTCATATACAATGTAACCAAGGTCGTTGTCCTGTCAGCATTCTCTGCTGTCCTAACAGAACTCCTGGGATTCAAGATGAAGCTCTACAAGATCAAACTCAGGGCATAATACATACGAGGCCTTCAAAGTCTATTCATATGTTTCTTTTGGCGTATAACACTAACCTATTGCTGTGGTGATTCCAACCCCTGTTGCCTTGATAATACTAAGACATGTTGCCATAATGACACTAAGACATGTTTTCTTGGTAATGCTCATGCATATTGCCTTGGTAACACTACAAAACATGTTGCTTTGCTTATGCTAATACATATTGTCTTGATAGTGCATTAAATTATGTTGCCTTGGTAACACAGAAAGACATGTTGCCTTGGTAACACAGTAAGAAGTGTTGCCTTGGTAACACAGTAAGACGTGTTGCCTTGGTAACACAGTAAGACATGTTGCCTTGATAAGATATTAAGATATGTTGCCTTGCTAAGATATTAAGACATGTTGCCTTGGTAACACAGTAAGACATGTTGCCTTAGTAAGGCAGTAAGATATGTTGCCTTGGTAACACAGTAAAAAATGTTGCATTTGTAACACAGTAAGACATGTTGCCTTAGTAAGACAGTAAGATATGTTGCCTTAGTAAGACAGTAAAATATGTTACCTTGGTAACACAGTAAAATATGTTGCCTTGTTAACACAGTAAGACATGTTGCCTTGGTAACATAGTAAGACATGTTGCCTTGGTAAGATATTAAGACATGTTGCCTTGGTGACATATTAAGACTGAGTAAGATATGTTGTGTTTGCAACATTAAAGATTGATACAAATCTTTAATAGCAATATATCCACAAATCTTTCTAATTTGGAAAGAAAAATCAAATCAGAAACCTCCGGGTATTCAGCTCAGCATATATATATGTTTGGTATGTGTACAGGGACCTACTTGTATATTCTGAGATGAATCCCGTTGATGACAATAGAAGGAACATTTGTACATGTCCATATTTAAGTTATAACTTTACACTTTTTGATAACAACGTTTAAATACATATAGAACTACAGTTCATAATTCACAACTTCAATACTTAACTGTTGATGTTGACCTTACTGCAGAAGTGATAAGCATTCTTGGTTGTGTAACATTTAAAAATTGTAAAAAGAGTAGAGTCTGTCAACATATGAGTTTGTGTTAAACATTTTTCATTGAAAATTCTAAAATTCTACTTAGGCTGCTTCTGAATCAATGGGTGGACAACTCCACAGGACACCCACCATCCCCCCGAGACAGCTGTATATATATATACAAGGCATTAGGTATGTTGTATTGAGTCATGTTATACTGTAGAACCTCGTTATAATGCCCATTGTGTATAGCATTGCATCGTACATATGTACACACTTCATATTTAGAGGAAATCATTAGATGATGCATTTTTTTTCTGCATCCTCACCGGTTATATCATAATCACATGGAGGTCGTTGATTCGTAGTATTGACTCGGTGTTACTATTTTAAGAAACACTTTGATTGTAGCGTCACAATACACTCTGCAAAACTCAATATAATTTATAATCCATTTTTCTCTTACGTTCCCTCTTGTTTCATGATAAAAGCACCATGATTTCACATCTAACGATTACCGGGGGTAAGGACTTTAGTTTCAGTGAATATGACATACCTGGTAAATGACATGCATCACTCGGGTCACACCCGCAAAATTTAACTATCACCCTCGACCATCTCATGACCTGCATGGGTCAAACAAAATCTCTTGCATTCCGGCAACATGACCCGCAATCACCTGCCTCCGCACTCATGTAATGTGATTATCTGAAATAGGATACATAATGATGTATAAACCTTGACTCTCTGTTCACTGATATTGCTTTCTCGGGGCCAAATGCTGTATTCACTTCAATTAAAATCTATAATTGTATCGAGTATATGGAGTATATACTGTAAAACTTTGTTATAACGCCACTTGTTTCATATGGCACCTCACTTACCACTGACATGTTTCAATATTATGCCACTTGTTTCATGTGGCACCTCACTTAACACTGACATGTTTCAATATTATACCACTTGTTTCATGTGGCACCTCACTAACCACTGACATGTTTCGATATAACGCCACTTGTTTCATATGGCACCTCAATTACCACTGACATGTATCAATATAAAGCCACTTGTTTCATGCGGCACCTCACTTAACCCTGACATGTTTCAATATTATACCACTTGTTTCATATGGCACCTCACTAACCACTGACATGTTTCGATATATCGCCTCTTGTTTCATGTGGCTCCTCACTTACCACTGACATCTTTCAATATAATGCCACTTGTTTGATGTGGCACCTCACTTACCACTGACATGTTTCAATATAACTCCACTTGTTTCATGTGGCACCTCACTTACCACTGACATGTTTCGATATCATGCCACTTGTTTCATGTGGCACCTCACTTACCACTGACAAGTTTCAATATAACGCCACTTGTTTCATGTGGCACCTCACTTACCACTGACATGTTTCGATATAACGCCACTTGTTTCATGTGGCATCTCACCAAAATGTTTCAAGGTCACCTTTACCATTTTCTAAACAATTCCTTAACATGTCTTTATTGTTAGATCACCATATCCCTTTATAATGCCAAATTTGTCCTGGACAGTATAGCATGGTTTTACCCTTGTATATAGTACACTGTATATGCCAGTATAGTATATTGTATCAGATGGCAGACATCCTGCATCCTCATTGGTTGAATCATAATCATGTGAACGTCGGTGATTTGTGGTAATGACTCAGTGTTACTATTTTTAGAATCAGCAGGTCAATATGTACTTTTATGACATCATTTCAATTGTAATGTCACAATGCTTTCTGACCAATGTAGTAGGTACTTTCCACTGTACATTTTCCCTTGTTTACTGATTAAAACATTATTAAGCATCTAATATAGCAATTAAAGACTTCTATCTCAGTGAATGTGTGGTAATATGGACCCTAGAATGTGTCTCGGTCAATATCACTTTCTCAGGTTCATGTAACCACACCTCCACCTCCACAATAATCCATAATTGAGAAGTCTATTGTACATTACATGTAATCTGTATACGCTACATAAAATACATTGCAATTATTACATTATGTATATACATCAGCGTACAACAGCATATTTTATATAAGTAACTTCTGTTCATGTATTTTGTATTATATTATTGTTTCATGGTGACTGTTAACCTCTGTTTTATGTTGTGATATGTAAATGTTCATGTTCCTGTCTTGATAAAGGGGCAGATTGCCCTGAACATTTGATCAATTTCTTTGTCTGTACTGTGGTAATTACTTCTTTGCCCATATATTTATTTAAGTAATACGCATCCAACCAACATTTGTTTGTTCGGATAAAGTGCCAGTATTGGATCATACTGTCGTTATTACTTACGAGACCTTTATATATATACATTGTATATAATTGTGTAATAATTGTATATTGTATATAAAATATAGTACATTATTTTACGTCACATTTTTATCAAGTTCCATTTAGTTTTTTGAAATGACATGATAAAGAAAATCCCCTTCTCATGCCCAGTAATATGTTTTTTTGCAATGAAGCTTTTGTTTACGTGATCTTGGAGATTGTTTATATGAAATGAATTGATTATTTCTATATAATTTGTGATATATACAATGTTACGCGATACAGGGTATATGTTGTTTTGTATTGAGCCACAACAAATTCATTATTGAAGCTTGCGAGAAAAGCATGTATGTTGATAGCAATATATCGTTCGCGGTCCGCAATTCATCTATAGTGTCTATCAACAGGGTAGAATTATATTGTTGTAAAATTTAAACTACAGAAAGTCCTCGCCGTTTCCATGTAAAGATAGAAAGAAGGTTTATAACATGGTGACAATATACTACATAGCATTTTGATGTTCACAGAATCAGAATATTTTGGTTTTGTTACTGGTACGACAGCAGGATTTCTGTTCAATTTGATACTCTAAAAGTGGAAATTTTCACTGTGTGGAAATACTTGCATTTTTTACATTGAGTAAATTAGCCCAAAATACCCACTTGAGATTATTATTTATATGTAGATCATAGATAATTAGATCATAGTTAAATAGTATATACATATTTCAGAACCAATGCCAGAAATTTCTGCTGCCCCCATTGCATGATCGTAAGAGGCGACTAAGTTTGGGATCTTATCTTTTCTCTTCTTTCTAAATAACTTTCTTCTTCCTAATGTCTCCCTTGACAATGCCTCACTTTTGGCCGTTAGTTGAGCGTTTACCCCCGTGAGGAAGGCTTCGGGTTCTGTCCCCTGGCCGAGACATACCAGAGTCTGTAAAAATGGTAGCTTCTACTCCTGCTTAACGCTCAGCTATTTAGGAGTGGGACAACTGGTTCGCCCGTTTTCAGTATAATGTGACTGGGTGGGGTGTCCTGCTGGGTGTCTTTGGCAGTATGTTTCAGTGAGGTAGCACTATAAAGACAGCATTAGTTCCGCACTATCACAAGGAGACAAACAAGAACATATCGCAGCCTCCAAAACGCATACACTATACGCATGCATCTTGCACACAGGGGAGGCCGTCCTTAAATGACCATAGCTGTTGATAGGACGTTAAACAATACTAAACCAAACCAGATCTACTCCGCAATCTATTTATAGTCAAAATGCGAATATTTCCACACATACATTTTTTTACTTTTAAAGTCGTCAGTATACTCAGATTAACTCATTGCAAAGAACCTTCACAGTATTTTGCTGCATTATTGTCTCAAAAGGGGGATATTTGTAATATTGTTTGAGTCATTTTTGATTTCATTACCCGAATGACCAGGGATGCAATAGACTCGTGGCCCCATCATGGCCGGTTGTTTAAATATTGTATTTCTCAATAATGTCTTTACTGCACCATATGTATTTATAGCAGCATCAATTGTTGTCATCATCTTGCTGTAATTTTTTGTCGTCTGTCAGGGTTTCATCTCATTCATCTTGCCAATTAAAGTGTTGTCTGATTTTATTTTGCTATTGATGAGAAATTTTACTGAAACATCTACATCCTGCAGTATGACTGAGTTGAAGAGAATGTGAAATTTGAATATATGTCAAAGCCTCAGTAATCCAGTCGCCATTGTCCCCAGCAAGACAGCATCATACTGAAACAATTTTTAATGGAAAAAGAGTTAGCTGGCCCCTAAAACATTGTCTGGATAGTGTAGCTACATGGCCCCTAAAACATTGTCTGGATAGTGTAGCTACATGATTTGAAGGGCCTGAATTTAGAGCTAAAATGTGGGGCAGCCATGCAGATAAGTGGGCGCTGCATGATAGGGGCTTAACAGTAGGGCAGCCAGATTAGTTGGTGACTGTATTTATGGAGCTGGATCGAGGGACAGCCAGATTAGTAGGGGCTGGATAGAGGGGCAGCCAGATTAGTTGGTGCCTGTTTTTAGGAAGCTGGGTTGAGGGACAGCCAGATTAGTAGGGGCTGGGTCGAGGGACAGCCAGATCAGTATTGTCTAGATGAGTATTGAGTCGGAACTGTAACTATATCTTTCTTAACTCTGTAATGTTCTTTCTGTAAACATGATACATATTATTGCTGGGAAATTGTAACTTAATTTTGAATACTATCAAATATGTCTAATTAAGGATACATGCTACCTAATTGTTACAGGAATCTCCTGCACAAAAGAGTTTTTAACAAAAAAAAAAGAATAATTAATGAAAAGTAGTTTGGACTACAGTTTATTTATAAATAAACATTTAAGGGTACACTTGAATGCCTGTATCATTATAATATAGGGGAAATAACTCCACCACAAATCAAAGACATAAGATGTGACATAGCACATATTTTTAAGGGAGATAACCCTAACACAATGTTTTAGTTAGTAGATGTCCTTATTACCAGCAATTTCATGTAGTGAAATGAAAACAGTATTTTTTCTCATCTTTCAAAATAATATATATCCATTTAAACATAAATTGATTAATGATATGCCAGTAAGGTAATCTAGCTTAAGGATATTCTGTATTGGTAAGTGTGGGATATCTTGTGTGTATTAAGTTTTTTGTTGATCAAATTATTTTTTAATGTACAGGGTGACATATTCAATATTTTGATATCAATATAGGTAGAGTATGTGGATATGAAAATGATGTTGAATGGCGATTGATTTTTTCCGTTATAGAAAACTGTCAGGCCATATATTGTACAACACATATTGTGTTATATACACTGAACTGAAAATGCAGAAAATGTTTTGAATTTACAATTTTCGTTGTTATTTTTCCCTTTGATTATTTATTATTGATGTACACATCAGTATGTAGATCATTGTTTTGTTCAAACTCTTTAGTGTATTTGAAGCCAGTCGAGTAGAATGTTCCTCCAACTTGCCTTTACTTGTCCAAGACTGGTCGACTAAAATTTGAATCCATTCATTAAAATATTTAACGTATTCCTTGCCATGTTGTTCATATTATTGCCAAATAGATAGAATCTCATGAACGCAGATAGAGTCATTGCTATTAATTTCCATAATAGAATTTCTGATCAATTTTGTCTTGTTTCTTAAAATCTAAAATTTTGGAAGTTATTAAATGTTATATATAAAACATTCAAATTGACATAAGAATAAAAACTTGAAAATTTTATTGTAAATTATATTGCAAAAGTTGTTGTTTTTGCTAAAATATGTTAGGAATCATTATAATATATGATCACGTATATGTAACTAGTCGAGCCCATTTATCTAGCTATCCTTGTTCTCAGATAAGGTGGCTCAGCTTGAACATTTTGAAATTGTAGTATAGAAAATAGGAAATATCTTCCCAGAAAGTTGAGCTGGATAGATAAGTGGCACAATAGTATTAAGGAGACTTGACTGTTCAAGTCTAATTTAGTTATAGTGTACCAACCATCAAATGGTTCATGACAAAGTATCATTATTGTAATAATCACAGCATATTATCACCCTAAGGCTGCCTTAAGTCTACAAATATTGTATGTTGCACGTATCCTATGACTGTCAAACACCTAAAAATATTGTATGTCGCACGTATCCTATGACTGTCACACACCTACAAATATTGTATTTCACACCCTATATAAGGCTGCATCAAGTCTACAAACATTGTATTTCACACCCTATATAAGGCTGCATCAAGTCTACAAACATTGTATGTCACACCCAATATAAGGCTGCATCAAGTCTACAAACATTGTATTTCACACCCTATATAAGGCTGCATCAAGTCTACAAACATTGTATTTCACACCCTATATAAGGCTGCATCAAGTCTACAAACATTGTATTACCCCCCTATGTAAGGCTGCATCAAGTCTACAAATATTGTATTTCCCCCCTATATAAGGCTACATCAAGTCTACGAATATTGTATGTACTTTATAAAGAACGAAAACTCTGGATTTGGACAAATCTTAAAACAGGTCATGATTTTGCTAAGTGTTTTGTATAAATCTTTGAGTCAGTAAGAAATCCTCAATGGTCTGAAGTTCACAGAATCGGTTAAACTTTTCTAGTTCCTATTATGTTAAAACAAACAGGGTTATAAGCTTTATAGGCCTATGAGTTTAATAATTATTTTTAAGTGTTATATTTGTTTCCCTTATTTTAGGCGAAAGTGGGGTTCAAATTTTCGTATATCCATACCAAAATGTTTCTTTAAAACAATAATGTATGCCCAATTTTCCACCAGACAAGATGAATTATACATGCGTGACCTACTTTTAAAAACCAATATCTCTGTATGTCAATTACTTTCAACCAACTTTGCAAATGGTTGCCTGCTGGGTATACTCGTAGCAAGTTGAAATGGGAATGTGGACCATGAATATTAATAAGGTTACAAACATTCTTCACCCTTCCACCCCTAGGTAAATTAAGTGGACTCTACCATGCAGTGGACTCTAGATACAGGCATTTCCGTCTAGATATTGATAAGTTTTCACAAAAGTGTTGACCCAAAATAAAAGCATTTTTTTTACATGAAGCAATTTTTGAACAAAATTGGAATTTGAAAATGAAACTGGTAAACCGATTCCAATCTCCTTATTATCATTATCATTATCAATCACAAGATTGATGGATCCTGAATTTTTGTACTGATTTCATTGTGAACCTGTTAGAGACCACCTTAGTGTTAACTCATATTTCACCCCTGAAATTTCATTAAGAACTATTCTAACCTTTGAAATGGAATAGTTCAAATGTGTCTTCATGGGTGTTCTCTTAATACATGTACGGATTTGACTGTAGTTTGTACATCCTTAGTTGTAATACTTCAGAATAATACTTGGTAATGATCCCGACTAAATGTGTAAAACGTTCATACATTCACAAAGTTTTTATATTGCACAAGCCGTAATTGATGACAGCAGTAAGACACATTGATATGGTACAACAGACAGTCTTGATGAACATTTACCTGTGTTATTTCTACATTTTGATATATATTGTTGTTGTTGTTGTTTTGTAGGTATCAAAATGGGTAAATAAAAAAATCTATTATACCAATTTGATTTGTTTTTTATATGTTTTAGTATGCGTTTATTTCATTTTTCTGCTCCACGATTTAATCTCTGAAACTGGAGGTATGCTAAGGTTGCCGTCCATCCATCCCAAACGTAAAAGAACCATTAACTCTAACAGGACAGTTTATTTCTTTGAAAATTCACTAATAGAAATTTGTGTATATCATATGAACAGATGGAATAGCACACATCATTTCAGTAATTCATAATTAACAAGGGGCCCTATAGGCAACTGGTATTAATCTCGCACCAGTAACCTCAAAAGTGGGCCAAGGGCAAACTTATTAAAAGAGCTAGGTTGAGATCCAGTCTAAACATCACAACCATGTGCCGTTTGGTGATCGAGAAAAGGTTGTATAAGATTTTAACACGGTTCACCCCTGTGACCTTGAACATCTGCCAAGGTCATTCATTTGACTAACATTGTAGCCCTTCCTAGCCATATATCATCATCCTGGGTCTTTTGGTTATTGAGAAGTTATAAAAAGAATTTAAAATATTTGATCCCTGTGACCTTGAAAAAGGGTCAAAGTCATTCATTTGGACAAACTTAGTTGCCCGTCATCCAAGCATGCTACCGGCCATGATATCATCACCGTGCCTCTTGGGTCATTTATAGAATACATTGTTCAACAAGAGGACCATGGGCCTAAAAGGTTACCTGAGTAAATTCTGAAGTAGTCTGCATGTTCTTTTTTTTTACATTAGCATTGTATGCTGTATGGTATATGAACAGATGAAGTTGTAAATGTCAAGCTAGCCAATCACAGGCCAGGTTGGCCATCTGGAATTTTACAATCAGCATGAAAAGTGACACAAACTTGGTCAAAACCTCATAAGGAACACTTCTACTAAGTTAGAAGTCAATCGGAGAAGCCTTTCTTGAGAAGTCAAAAACATCTCAGTCAATGAGAGGTCAGGATGACCATCTTGGATTTTCTTAACGGCACAAAAAGTAAGAACACTGGTTTGGAACCTCATTAAGAACATTTGTACAAATAAAGAAGTGATTTGCTGAAGATAATTTTGAAAAGTCAAAAAATGTCTGGTCTCAGCAATTCAGAGGCCAGGATCGGCTATCTAGTATTCTCTGATTGGCAAAAATTCTAAATTTCAAAGTCCCATAACTCTGCCAGTTACTGTCTGATCCGACCCATTTTCAACTTGTCCGGAGATCTTTTTGATATAATTATAAGCAGCATAGAAAAATTGATCGAAATTCATTTAGACAAGATAAAAAAATTAGCGCACGACGACTAGACGAAGACAGGTAGCAATCATAGGTCATGGTGACCTAAAAATCTTTTAACATTGGAAACCAGTGACCTTGAAAATGAGTCAATGTCATTCATATAAAGAAAAACTTGGCATCCCTTCTTCCCAGCATGCTGCTGGCCAAATATCACACTGGGCCTTTTGGTTATTTAGAAGAAGTTGTTTAAATATTGGAGAATATTGGTACACAACATCCCACTGGCATTGTACACTGTATGGTATTCTCTCAGTTTTTCTCCAAAATATCCAATCTGAACAGGTGTAGATGACTTTTCAAGGTTTTTTAGTTTGAAATTATTGTAATACAATACAATTTTCATGATCAAGTTATAGTTTTCGGACCACAATAATCAGCCCTACATCTGTCCTTTTATGCTATAATAATGTCGGTCTGACTACAAGGTTAAGGTTAGCTCAGATGACTCTAGGTTCAGTAAGAACACCACAATGATCAAAATGCAATGGACTATGAAATTTAGTTTTTAAGTTTATTAGACATGAGACATCTAATTATATACAATTTAAACTTTACTTCTTGCCTTATACATAGCTGAATATTGACAGGTCAACGTTTCACGCTGAATATTGGCAGGTCAACATTTCACGCTGAATATTGGCAGGTCAACATTTCACAATCTCCTGCCATGGCCAGTACATAGCCATGGCATTATATTTGATGTGCCATGCATGCATTCGCGAGTCTAATTCCTTACCCCCTGTACAAGTATACAGGACTCAATTTACAAAGTTCTGGGCCTGGTTCGTACCACCCTGTACAAGCATACAGGACTCAACTTACAAAGATCTGGGCCTGGTTCGTACCACCCTGTACAAGGATACAGGACTCAAATTACAAAGATCTGGGCCTGGTTCGTACCACCCTGTACAAGCATACAGGACTCAACTTACATAGATCTGGGCCTGGGTCGTACCCCCTGTACAAGCATACAGGACTGCATTTACAAAGATCTGGGCCTGTTTCGTACCACACTGTACAAGCATACATGACTCAACTTACAAAGATCTGGGCCTGTTTCGTACCACCCTGTACAAGCATACATGACTCAACTTACAAAGATCTGGGCCTGGTTCGTACCCTCTGTACAAGGATACAGGACTGAATTTACAAAGATCTTGGCCTGGTTTATCTATGCCTGGTATGCTTAATGAGTCATTATAAAATTCCAAATCAATATATTATTATCTTATAATCCTTAAAAAGGCTTTTCCAGTAAAAATATTCACCCGGCCCCAGACTCCCAAAATATATTGCCTCCATGGCTGGATTTGAACCTTCCAGTTTTTCACATTTACGCAAGTTCTGAAATCTGGAGTCCAGGAGCAAAAGAAATGTTCCCTGGAAAAGCCTTATAAATAAATCAATATATTAAATAATCTTAAATAAGAATTTTGATGTTGTTTTATTTTTTTCTAAACATAAATGTACAAGGCATAAATTTAGTGACAAGTTGTGGTTCATCTATGATAAGGCTGTGAACTGGACCCAGAATGTCAAATGAACTTGATCTATTTGGAATTAAACATGATTTCCCCCTCCTCTCAGACAGTTCTAGTGTGGGAGAACATGTATAATAGATTTCTTCATTTATGTTCTACTAGATCTTACTTTCAAAGTTAATTTCCATAGAAAGCAAATCTTAGAAGGAATTCTAGAGACACTAATGTCTTACCAGGCAGTTCATTTTATCTAGATATACCAACACTTTGACCTTATTTTTACATCCGAACAGCAGTGTCAATACTGCCTGGTTCAATATATCAGGCAATGTTCATGCAATGTAGTACACTGTATTTCTACAGGACATGTGTAAACTATATTACAAATATTTACAAAAAGCTCACACAAATTACAGTGCATAATCGAGTCAAATACTATTTTACAACTTGCAACATCAGGAAAGACAATAGAGGTGTCACGATTCACCGCGATGCACTTATGTTCGATTCGATTCAAGATATATTTTTCCAGATTTTCGATACGTCACGATCTGAATATTAGTGTATGCCGCTTCAGCCAAAACGTCTGAGATGTTCAATTTCATTGGCTGATCTTTAAACCCTCAACCAATCGGCTGCGAGGATGCAATTTTCACAAAGCATTCATAACAAAATGGCGGACCGTGGTAAAGAAATGAAAATTTGTGACACGCTGGCAAGCTTCAAATCAAAAGTGTGGAAACAGTTCGGGTTTCCGTGTATCGACGGCTTATATATGTCATTTTTTTTATATTTTAACATAAAGGTGTATCGAATCGTGGTACAAATATCAAGAAACGTATCGAATCGTGGGTAAAGTGTATCGTGACAGCTCTAAAAGACAAGTAGCACATTCACTGCAGAACATGTTTAAATTGACATCCTGATTCTCTCCTGTGAGCAAAACAATATCAAAACTTATAATATTTGTACAGGCATTGCACATATGTGAAATATTTACAATTTTACACATTGGATTAACGGTGAATGATTTGTCCTACATTAGTTGATGATAATATTACAGTTTATCGATCATTTCATAGCAACAGATACTCGGATATCAGTGAATACCACTTTTAAAAGAGTAGCCAAATGAATCACTATTGGTCGATAATAAATACTAGATTGTGGTGTTCAACTTCAAATCTATGGTATCATAATCTCCAAACCAATGTTTAAACAGCACTATATGATATTCTTGAATGAAATATTCTGTCATCTTCACTTTCAGCTTAAAAATATATATCTTTGATGGCACAATCCAAAACTGGATCAACATGAATAGTTCTGCTCTCTTAAATGACTGACATAACATGCATACATGTACATTGTGAATCAGAAGAACGACATCTATGACTGCGGTCAAAATTCAACATCTCCGATTGTTTGAAACTACTATGCATATCTCCCAATGTACGCTCAAAATCAAGAACACAACATTGGCGATTTTACGCTCAAAATGAAAACGAGATTTCTCCGCGTCAACAAATGGATACCCCTGAAAGTTACCTGCCAAGGGTAAATACAAATTCAGAACACATCTTCATTGAACGTAAATTCAAATTAAGGAACACATCACTTATAGTCTATGTTTTAGTGTATTGTTTCTGAATGAACACTCAAAGATCACTGATGATACACACTCCAAATAAGGAACAATATCACTGAACGAAGGCACTAAATAAGGAAAACTACATCATCAGCCAGCATCACCTGGTTGGCGTCCATCATTTGTTCTAGAGCGGTAAACACATTGTCCTCTGAAAAGTCACCCTCTGTAAACTCCTTGGCCATGTGTGCTTTGACCTTGTCCAAGGACACGGACTGGGCATGCTCAGCTTTGAACAAATTAAATAATGCTGCTCGGAAAGTCTTCATCCTGAATAGAAAAGGTACACAATTAATTTAAGGAATGATAGAGACATTGTTATTAGGAATTAGATGGAAATCATACATGTTGTCCCAGGGGATAGGTACCTGTGTTGCCTCTAGGGATTGGTACATACATTTTCTGTGTCCTACGAACACTTTCAAAACACCCGTTTTCTACTCCCTATGATTTTCTCATGCCAGAATCGAAGGCTTACAGTTAGCTATTTTATTGCCAGCCTCATAAACAAGGGTAACGGAACTTAGATCATCAGATAGTTATTCTGCGTAAAACCTTTAAATTGTACCGCTACGCTGCTGTGTATCACAATTATCGTTAACCTATTCGCCCCTGCATTTTTAAAATTGACTTGCCCAGTCTTTGATTTGGCAAGGTTAAATGTGACTTTAGGTGTGAATGGGTTAAATCAATAGGGTTTAGATCAGGATAGCATACATCTACTCCACACCCTTGGCTTTCTGTTACAGAATTCACCTCCTTGCAGTACCTCTATACTACGTCTAAATGCTGCATAAAACCCAATACAACGTATCAGCTTAGTGACGATACCTACCTTTTATCATCCACCTTATCAGCTTTCTGTGACGACGGTTGGGAGGACTCTGTATCCATGGCAGCATCACCGTCCTGAGATTTCGTTCGTTTCTTTCTCGGCTTTCTCTCAACCATTTCTGAATCTAAAGAATAACATGATAACAGTGAATCTTTATCCAAACTTTCTTTCTTACAAACCATACATTAAACACAGGTTAAGACATGTTCCTGAAATTGGGACCGACGCACACGGCAAATTCTCCCGACTTCATTTACAGAGTGCTGGATGGACAGAACTAGACCATGAATGAAAAGCAATATACGAATCCACATCTCATGCCAGGCTTAATAAAAATATCAAAAGATCCCCTTTTGTGAGTCAAGACTTTTAATTTATAAATTCTTTATAATGGTGTTCTTTGCCATCGGCTTAACACTTACAGTTTGATATATCCTAATAATAGGTTTGTTTATAATCGACATACCATCTTCACTGGCAGTAGCCTCACTTTCGTCAAAGTCGTAAGGGTCGTAACCCTCATCCCCCTCCTGCCTGACGGGACGCTTGGCCGACATCTCCTTCGTCTTCCTCCTACAAAATATCAATGGCACTATCAATATCAATGTCGTTTCACGGTGTAGGGATATTTAACAGAAAATATCAACAGTTTCTATACTGATGTGGATTCCCGTCTTAGAACAAGGTAAATTTTAGGGGGCTTTCTTTGCTCTGAAATTACATATTAACATGGTTGTAATGATAACACCTAACCAATTCATGGCTCTAAGAAGTCTTTCACCCAATTTATTTTGGTGGTACAAGAACTCTAATACCATGCAAGTATGAAAACTGTGCTGCATCCATTCTGCATAATGTTTCAGTCAGGTAGTGCTCTGAAGTCAGCATCAGATCTGCACTATTGCAAAGAAGCAAATACACCAACATACCGCAAACTGATATACACAACACGAACAAAGGCCCATCCTTAGATGACCTTAACTGCTAATAGGATGTTAAACCAAATTAACCAAACCACACGAGACACGGTAGTCTAGTGGTATGACGCAAGGCTCGTGACCGAAGGGTTGCGGGTTCAAGTCACCACGGCACCACTGTGGTGTATCTTTGAGCTGGATACTTTACTCCGCTTGTTCCAGTCTACTCAGCTGTAAATGAGTTCTTGGTTGGGCAGTGCTAGAATTGCTGAATGTTAGCTGTGAGTGCCGAAATGGCAGCACTGGCTGTATGCTCCCCAGGGAGTTGAAGAAGATATTGGCTGGTTGCAAAGGCCCTATAACCACGGATGATTATTTGTGAACCGCTTTGAGACAACCTACGAACAAGGTTGTGATAAAGCGGTATACAAGAACCTCAATTTTGTTGGAATAGAAATCGGAACTGGGCGACGTACTGTTTTTTCTTGGCGGGTACTTCTCCGTCAACTTCATCTGCAGCCTCATCCTGACTGCTGTCATCGGCATCGTCACTCTTCTGTCTCTTTTTTTTCGTCTTCTCCAGCACCTGTTGTATTAATCAATATTCAAGTCTTATATTCCTGATCATATTCACTTAATCGTAAAATCGGACTAAGGTTAAGTATTTTTATATTTCACTATTTTCTTTCCTACTTTTCTTATTCATTATATTTCTGTTTGGTCCTGTACATTGACATTCGCGTTGACCGGCCGTTATGTATATACCTTCTTGAAGTATGCATAATGTACAAGCTCCACACAGGCCTGGGCATCCTCCAGATCTACCGTCTTTGATAGGCGTGCCTTCGCGTGGGCGGTCGACAGACGGATCATCGTCTCCAAGGCTCGGGCTGTTACAGGCTGGGTCTGTTTCAGGTCAACAAGTTTACCATAATTATTGAACAAATTAAATCTCCATTTTCATCTGTGTAATCTTAAGTACAAAGCCTGACTACATTATTAACATTAAAGTTTAGTTAATGTTGAAGTTAGTTTCCAATACAGGAGCCGATAGAGCTACTCTACACTGGACTCAAAAATTAAACAATTGTATAATATAACGTCAAAGATCATTGTTATTTAAATTTGCCCTATAATTGTAATAAAGTTCTTCATTCTGCCAAAGTTTATCTATTCTGTTCTTAAAAGTATTGATATTTGGAGCAGGTACAACGTCCTGCAGAAGGTTGTTCCAGGTTTTGACTCTATGAAATGTGAAATAGTTTCTGCTCAGGGATGTTGTAGACTGATATGGGAATAAACAAGTAACGTTGTTCCATACATTACTCAATTTACAGTATGTGTGTTCTTAGGCCTTTAACAACTTATTGGTGAAATTAACTAGATATAATAAACACATGCCCCTGTTCCCACTTTCAGGTCAATGAAGCTGAATGAAAAGTCTAGCATATGTCAATGTAAGGGATGTCACAATACGCCAAGCGTGTATCAGTAATCACGATATATTGCAATACATATAGGATCTTACACAAGTTTCCATTTCATTTGAGATCTATGAGACAAGTCTAAGAAATTTTCAATTTAGCGAGCCTCTGTTACGAGTTTCACAAATTCCATATGACATAATAATCAGTGCAAGATCCTTTTTATCACATAATCAAGATTTGTAGCATTTATTTCTGTAAAACGACAATTTTCATGCAACCTTGAAATTCAAAAAGCCCCCATTTTGACTCCAGTGCATAAGTCTGTGACGTCATGTACTTGTCCTAGGCATGACGTCACAATTGAAACAATTGAATTTAACAACCAATCACATGGCTGATAGATCATATTACATGGTTTATAGGTAAAAATATATGACATGGGTATATTCACTGGATAACACAGTACATTATGTGATAAAGAATGAATATATTGCATGTATCCCAATATCTTGTCATAGGAAGGATTTGCTCAATTTTATAATAAGTGGTTGTCAGAATGTTATCAAACTTAATCATATATAATATGGATATAATATGGATTACATAGATTCAAGATTTTTGGCGAACCAACCATTGATAACAAAATTGGAACTATTTAAAACCTGCTTTATGCTTATTAGTATATCTGTTAGAATTTGTAGTAATTTGCAAAGTTAAAACACCAAGCAGTATATAAAAATATGCTTTTGAAAAATACTGTGATACTGCAATATACCAGTTTTCCGATATATTGTGACTGCCCTAATCAATGAAGTGGAAAACATATCAGGAAAGTACAGTATTGATCTATATTGTGTAGTACGTATCCTTATGTAATCTGTCGATCGTTCGTCTCCTTGTATTAAGAGTAATGAAGCTTAACAAAATATAACAAAGATGTACTGACTGAAACGACAAGCTTTTAACGCTCTCTCTAGCAATCGTTAATACATAGATCTATGTTGATGAACATTTATAAGTATAGTCAACTCAAAAATAAGTTCATACTTTATCACCAAGAATAAAACATTAAGTTTCATTATATGGGGCATACTGAGAATTACTGAAATATACATACCCTAGCAACGCTGTCATTTTGGAAGTTGTCTTGGTTACGGAGCTTGGCATATTCGTCTGAGAGAACCTCAGCAGCCTCTCGTGTCAGGCTTGGCTTCAGTGCCTTTGCTACATGGATGTACTTCCTCATGAACTGCATGCTCACAATACGGTGGCTAGAAAGAAAAGGTTATTCCCAAACATCAGCAATAGCCCGAAGGAATAATTCCTACCTTTATTTTAAGGTAGCAGGAGTTTTATGGAGTCGGAACATTTTGAAATTAGTCCCAGCAACTACTCACTGCTTCATAATCAAGAGGTTTCGGGGTTCAAATCTAAGTGACAAGAGTGTTTATGTGAAAAAGGAAATGATAATTAATGTATCTTCCCGTCATACATAACACTTTCCAATGGTAACTGTGCAAGTTACTAGAATTCCAATCACTTTGAAACTCTCCTTCAGTGTGACACATTTCCTGTGCTGAGACTCTCCACCTTGAGATGACAATTTTATTAAAACTTTTGTCCTTCATCTCTTTGTGATGGATACAAAGAATACTTGTATATTAAAACTGATGACCATCAGTAAGCCTGATGTAATAATAAAATATGTTTATAGTATCTACATGTCTATATATATATTTATAAATACCAATAAATATGAGGTACATGTATACTGTATACAAGATGAGAAACAGTGTTTGAGCACCAGTAGCTCCCCGGGACTTTCACCTCTGTATACAAGATAAGAAACAGTGTTTGAGCACAAGTAGCTCTCTGGGACTTTCACTACAAGATAAGAAACAGTGTTTGAGCACCAGTAGTTCTCTGGGACTTTCAACTCTGTATACAAGATAAGAAACAGCGTTTGAGCACCAGTAGCTCTCTGGGACTTTCACCTCTGTAGACAAGATAAGAAACAGTGTTTGAGCACCAGTAGCTCTCTGGGACTTTCACCACTTCTGACATAAAAGCGTTAGGGAACAGCTCAAATCTCCTTTTCATATATATATTTACAAGCCCAAAGTTCTTGGTGTGTTTTAATTTCATCAATAAGATGTGAAGACCAACTTAAAACAAGAGGCTCAGAGGGCGTGTATCGCTCACCTGAATATGTTTTAAATAATTGGTATGAAGTAAAGATATAGCACTCCATGGTAGCTAGGTGCTGTAAGTACATATGAAATTTCAGAAAGATCCATCCAGTACTTGAGATATAGCGAGAACAAACTTCAAACAGAGCCCCACTTCTATGCCCCTAGGGGGGTCATAACCATCAATTATACAAAATTGAGACCCCTTGGCCCAAGGATGATCCAGACTTAATAAGGATAAAATTCCTTAATCCCAATGGTCAAAGAAGGATTTTAACGATTTTACCTCTATTTCTCCTACTGGACCAGGTGAGCTAACTAGCAGCTTTCAATTTTCACATGGGTTCGTCAGCACTTGTTAGATTTGAACCTCAACCCACCAGCACTCAAGTTCAAACACTGACCATAGACTTGGGGTAGGTTTTGTTTTTTATGAATTAATTTTGCCTTCACCTTTTTCCCTTGTTAGCTCCATGAAGCATTTTGTCATGCTTTTCAAAAATGGGCGTTTCCTGTTCTTCATCACGATCCAGGTCTGGATCTGTTGTAGCCAGAAGGTTGAGAGAGCTTCCCAGGGGTAACGCTGTGAATAAATATCGACTTATAATTAGGAAACTTACAGCAAATTATGAAACTTTTAGTCAAATCTTTATGGAACTGATGCTGATTAATAACTGTGAAATGTATGATGTACCAACACAATGTAAATACATATGTACTGTATAACATGAAATGTTCGTCGTATATAAACATTCATGGTTTTCGTGGTTGCTATATGGAACCACAAACATAAAAACATTGAATTTGAATGATACAGGTGTCTACTGCTTGTTAATAAAGGATAACCACGAAAGTTTGTACCAGCAAACTATCTTAATGGCGTCAAACCACGAAGGAAAGGATCCACGAACATTTCATGTTATACAGAAGTTAAGTCAACTGAAATCAAAATTCCTGAGGAGACTACGACTATAACTTGTTATAACATAAACATGTCCTCCCTGAAAATCTTTTGAGAGTGACAGATATACACAAACTACATATGATGGAGATCAACCTGAAAAGGTTTCAAAATTACAGAATGAAACCCCATTTGTGACTAGTTGCCTAAAAAAAAAGGTCCAGTACACAAGAGCAGTCATGGGGACGGTATTCTTCTGAATAAGCATGCACAACTACAAAGTCTATAATTACAATGGTTGCTGTCATGGAAACTGATGGGTAAAACTGTGTCTACAGACTGACAAGCATCTAAACTAACATCACCAGTGGCGGGGTTTATACTAAGGAAGGGGAACTCGTTGCTTAATAAATTGACAAGCACCTCCCAGCCCGATTATGCATACGTACAAAATTAAACTCCTTTTCATTACAGATAACAACACAAACTCACAACTCTGATACCATTACACATGACAGTAATTTTAAATACCACTAGTCAATTGGGACAGAAGTTACCACTTGTGCAAATTCCACTAACCAATGTAATTCAACATCTAATTTTGACTAGACAACTGTGCTGCCATTTTTTAAAACCACTAGTCAAGCTAGTGATTTCACTGGTCTCAGACTATCAGCTACCATTATAGTCTAGCCCTGCAGTAGTCCAGCTAGAGATATCTCTAGTCTTAGACAATTGGTCTACCCTTAATGTCTAGCCCTGCAGTAGTCCAGCTAGAGATATCTCTAGTCTCAGACCATCGTTCTACCCTCAATGTCTAGCCCTGCAGTAGTCCAGCTAGTGATTTCACTGGTCTCAGACCATCGTTCTACCCTCATTGTCTAGCCCTGCAGTAGTCCAGCTAGAGATATCTCTAGTCTCAAACCATCATTCTACCCTCATTGTCTAGCCCTGCAGTAGTCCAGCTAGAGATATCTCTAGTCTCAGACTATCAGCCTACCCTCATTGTCTAGCCCTGTAGTAGTCCAGCTAGATATATCTCTAGTCTCAGACTATCAGCCTACCCTCATTGTCTAGCCCTGCAGTAGTCCAGCTAGAGATATCTCTAGTCTCAGACTATCAGCCTACCCTCATTGTCTAGCCCTACACAGTATACAGGTGACCTTACCATCTCCGTCTTGTTCTCCTGCCATTCTGTAGCGGTGCATTCTCAGGACGTGTTCAGCGATAGATCTATCAAACTCTGGGTCCATCTGTAAATAAACAGGAAGGTTTAGGGTGCTAGGTAACTTATTCTAATGTACAACTCCATACCAAAGATACTCGCACCAAGAAACAAAGGAAGCTCTATTTCATGGATGCTTGTTAATTATAGACACTAGACTCTCATAATTTTAAATTAAGAGATGAATTTTTGAAGGAGAAACTCTAGCATAAATTACAGGTAAAAATGAACGAAACAACATCAAGCAAAAGGAACAACTTATCTCAGGGTAAAATACAAAACGCAGAGATCACTTGCAACGAAATTGACTTCTACCTACTGTATTTCAAACAACTTGTCTAATATTTTTGTAACTGTGAACTTGACATTAAAAACTTTTAAACCCATCTTAATATCACTATGTCAAACCCATCTAAATATCACTATGTCAAACCCATCTAAATATCACTATGTCAAACCCATCTAAATATCACTATGTCAAACCCATCTAAATATCACTATGTCAAACCCATCTAAATATCACTATGTCAAACCCATCTAAATATCACTATGTCAAACCCATCTAAATATCACTATGTCAAACCCATCTAAATATCACTATGTCAAACCCATCTAAATATCACTATGTCAAACCCATCTAAATATCACTATGTCAAACCTATCTAAATATCACTGTCAAACCAATCTAAATATCACTATGTCAAACCCATCTAAATATCACTATGACAAACCTATCTAAATATCACTATGTCAAACCCATCTAAATATCACTATGCCAAACCCATCTAAATATCACTATGTCAAACTATCTAAATATCACTGTCAAACCCATCTAAATATCACTGTCAAACCCATCTAAATATCACGATGTCAAACCTATCTAAATATCACTGTCAAACCCATCTAAATATCACTATGTCAAACCCATCTAAATATCACTATGTCAAATTTCAAAAAGATTCTTTTTTTGGATACTGAGATAAAGACCTTACTCACCTTGTCGAGTACAATAAATAGAAGATCAAAACGAGAAAGCAGCGAGTCCTGGAGCCCGATGTTTTCCATTGGCGTCTTGTATTGATCATACTGTAACACAAAACAACCATTCCTGTACTCGTCATGTTGTGAATTCAACCGATTTATAATTCCTATAGATCAATGTCAGAATTGTTGAATGTCTATGAAGGACTGAATTTTGCTAGTGTACAATATTTGTTCTTTAGAGAATGGCAGGGGAGGTAGCTACTAGGGCTGCAATGATATTGTATCATATGTTATTGTGATATTTTCGTGTCAAACTGTTTCGTTTGTCTGCATCATGATACACAAACAGTACTTAAATTATCAATTAATTTTCATCAAACTGTAAAAAAGTGAACTTACATATTTCTTAATCCTTCAGTAAAGATGCGGTCTACTGTGCGTCATACCCATATAAAAAACTGTGTTTCGATAGTATTTCCTATTGAAGTCTATGAAAAAACTTGATAAAAATTTTGCACTCTATCATTATGAAGTTGACCTTTTATGCAGATATTTGTATTGTGATATGTATCGTATAGTGAGGTATGCATATCATTGGAGCCCTAGTAGCTAATCATCTTCCCAACAGACTCGATTATAAATTCATGATGTACGAAACACGATGTAAACAATGACAAGGGAGGTAATTATTTATCTTTCCACCATACACGTCACATCTATAAAGTACGAAGAAATGTTGTACACAATGACCGACAGATTAACCTACCCTGCCATACACCGGGTTAGCGGCGGCCAGGACACTACACCTGGCATTGAGTTTAGCGTGGATGCCCGCCTTGGCAATCGTCACACGGCCCTGTTCCATCACCTCGTGGATGGCGGTTCGATCCATGTCAGACATCTTGTCAAACTCATCAATACACACCACACCTCTATCTGCCAAGACCATAGCACCTGCCTCCAGTCGTCGCTCACCTAAAATGGGTTTTCAATATGTACTGAAATTAACATTGGCTAAGCCATGATCCATTTCAGTTAACATACACAGAACATTTTTTCCAATCAGTTCAAATTTTTTCTTGGTATTAATAATTCTTAAAGGTCAGTCCTTTCAGCATTCAATATAGTATGGAACTCAGAACTCTCAGAACTTTTTAAATTTGGAATCTGCAATACATTGTGATACACACATTACTGCAGTATATTGCCAAAGTTTTGTTTTCACAAATGAATATTGAATATATTGTTGTTTGATTTTTAAGATATTGTTACAATGTGTTTGTTTTGAAATAGCATACCAAATATATTATAAATCCTGCTAGTCAGTTTCAATCAGGACTTTGACAATCTGCAGAATTCTCAACTTTTTCAATATTACAGAGAGTTCTGGTTTATCTAGAAAGTGTTATCATTGCTATGGTTCTTGCTTACCGGACTCCTGATCTGTAGTGACAGCAGCTGTGAGACCAACACCTGTCGATCCTCGACCTGTAGTGGGGATGGCCCTTGGTGCCGTATGCAAAACATACCGCAGCATCTGAGATTTTGCAACTGAGGGATCTCCGATCAGTAGGATATTTATGTCTCTACAATCAGAAGCAGGGCTAGAAATTAGTTCTGATTATGACTAGTCAATTAGGGCAGTAGTTTCCAATTCGTACTAGTCCATGTGCACATTCCATTCAGGCCAAATAAAAAATATTTGGTGTTTCCGGTAACCCTACCTACTCTATTTTTTTGTGCCTACCCTAAACTGTTTAAGGCAATTTTCAAAGAAGCATTGGTAAAGTCAAGATCACTCTCCTTTACAAGAGGCCCAGAGGGCCTGTATTGCTCACCTGAATATGTTTAAAATAATTGGTATGAAGTAAAGATATAGCACTCCATGATAGGTGCTGTAAGTACATATGAAATTTCAGAAAGATCCATCCAGTACTTGAGATATAGCGAGAACAAACTTCAAACAGAATCAGTTGTAGCTCTACTGCATAGGCATTCTCGATACTCCAGGGGTTATGCTCACTTTCGCTCTCTGCATCTCTGGTATATATTATGACAAAATCCAAAGCTCGGTGTGCACCACTTCGTGGACGAACCACAAAGACTAGTTTGATCATTTGATGTACATCAAAAGAATCTTTTGATCTGGTTAGAGTTAAGTCGACTGGCTTTGAAGTCAAGTTTCGCTCCTCTGTAATCTTCAAAGGACAGCCTAGCGATTGGTAAGGCTCTTTTACCCCGAGACCAATCGAGACCAATTCAAATAGCTAGCGAGACCAATTCAAATAGCTAGCGAGACCAATTCAAATAGCTAGCGTGTGCCTTCAATTTTGCTTTGACATATTCCAGAGAAGGAGAGTGAGCGTATCCCCTGGAGTATTAAAGATGCTTCAAAGGTTGACCTACCAAGTGAAGACACAAAATAAATCTACTTCTGTGTTGGCCATCACACTGATGGGGTACACATTAGTCAGGACTTACCCCCTGATACGTGTGCCGTTTGCCAATACTTTCTCATTTCCACCCAGCAACATACACAAGACCGCCTTTTTGATGAAATCATGACCATGAATAGAGGGCGCTAAGGATCGACCAAGAACCTCAAACACATCCTGTAACAAACAATCACGGATACGTTAATTTGAAAACATCTTTTCTGTTTAAATGTTTTTTAATTTCTTTTGTCAAGCCAACAAAACAGATGATACTTGAATAAGAATTTGTATGATCATTAAAGCTGACAGTACAAGTTAAAAAGTTCTAAATTGAAATTGAAATTTTATTTTTTCCTAGTTAGGAGATTTCCCCCAGTGACAATCTCTTACGGCTGTCATATCTAAGGAAGCGCTGACATTTTACAATGTATTTTCTTGGTAACAAGTGCACTTTGTATACCCAGCGAGACCCATACTTGTTTCTTAGCAAGGACAAACTAAAAAGTCGACACTTACTTAGAAACGATAGCTATAAGAGATAGTCACTGGGGAAGATCTCAAAACCAGAAATAAAAAAATAAAAAGGTTTTTTTTAAATCTCAATAGAAAGCTTTTTAACTTGCACTGTCAGCTTTAAGTTACAGTTTCGAAGACTTAAGGATTGAACAATAAAACATCAGCAATTTTATATTTATTTGCAAAGGTGCTAGTTTTTCTTTTGGTCAGATTGATATTGCCCCAAAAAGAAAACTTAATGTTTCTTTCTGTGAGATTGCAGTTAACTGCCACATTGCTGAAAAGGGATGTTTTCTACCAACATACATACTGTGTTTTTCTGTCGGCTGAATCTCTTGATCTTGGCTACATCATCTGCAGAAAACATGGGTGCCATTTCCTTACTCAGCAGCTGGACATTGTTGGCGATCATTATTGTCCTGAAAACAAAGTTCATATATATAAAAGATTTATATATAACAAAATGACCAAGGGCTCGCATAGATGAGTGTTTAGTGTGACATTTGACCATTTAACCTTGACCAATGACCACAGAGTCAGACTGATGCACTGACGAAGTTATAGCTGATACACACTCAACTTTAACTAAAGTGCCCACGTATACAAATGATAAACAAACCACTTTTTTTTACAAACAGGCTGCAGGATTGCTTTTGAGTGCCATCAACAATTATGCCATTAATGTACAAAAGGGTACTCCAATATACCCTACATCCCAATCACACTCACACAGCTATCTTGTTTAATATTTGGCCACAATGAGCAATAATAAATTCAAAGAGCCCGGAGTGACAACTCATCTAGAAATATATTCAAAAACATTGCATTTTTGTTTTTTAATTTCAACTCAATATCTACTTTAGAATTATAGACAACTAGTACCCATACCAGTTTGTACCTTACTTAATGACCTGAAGAATCCTGTAGTGTCATTACCTGAATGTTCCTGTGGTGAAGCCATTCTTTTTTCCGGGTAAGCATCTATACATTCCGATTACCTGTATTCTGTCACCAGGCTGCAAAGGGAGGTAATAATGTAACTTAAAAACATTTTGTCATGTAAAGAGGGAAGGCTTTATTGCAGATTTTTTCTCTGAATATTGGATGTCAAAATTTGTCAAAAAAATTATGAGGGGTTATCTAAAACAGTGGTATATAGAAAACATACCAGTAGTTTACGGAAAAGGTGTGTCTTGTTTCTGTTAAAAATTAATCCTTATTTTGTGTTAGTCATATCCTGGTTCAACCTATTTTTCAAAAGCAAGTTTGTCACAGAAAAAAATGATCAGATCAACCAGTGTACTGATCTAAAGAATTAATATTCACTTTTGCATGATGTTTTAAGCCATTCACTTTAGTCTCTTAAAAAGGTTCTCCGTACCTCTGATAAAACTGGAACTAAGAATTGGACTGTTTTTAACGGCACGACTATATCTTTGATCAATCATTTTCTGTAAACAAGAGCACCGCAAATGGATGCATAATAATACGCCCATCTGACCCTATCCAATATTTTTTTGTTGTTAAATTAAATCCATATTGTCCTTGTTAGACCCCACATGAACAACATCCATGCCAAAAATTAGGACAATACCACTGAAGAAACTTGCACCTAAACTCTACCGGACAGAAGGATGGACGGAAGCAAGTGCTTTACCATAAAACGCCCATTGAAATTTTCGACGAAAGGTGAAATAAACAAAATGTAATCAACACCAGTGAATCCAACTGTCATTATATGTAAATATGGTAGAAAGTAAAACCAAGTAAGAAATAAAACACTGTACTACTCACCTTACAACTGTCTACCAGGTCATTGTCGGCAACAATATCCACCGATCTTGGCAGTTGTCCTGCAGGTGCTTTCTCTGGCATTTCCTATAATACAACACATATATAATCTTCACTTTTAGACTTCACAGAAGTGGTTTTGCTTCATTTGAATGCCAGTAAATATCATCGGATAAAATCCGTTTCTGTTACATTTAACATTCATGCTTCAATATAAACCTGAAATCCGTGATAAATAATGTGCTACTTTTTAACATTTTTTTTGGTATTTTCAAGAAATTCAGTGCTTTCAAATCTAGCCACAATCTATACCAGTACTAGACCTAGTTATATTTCACAAAATACGTGATACATGATTTTTTCTCAATTTCGATTCTGTTAAATTTTAAACATACTATTCCAGTCTTTTAACTTTAAAGTACTGAATATGATATTTTTTTTATCTTTATAACTTCCTTAAACTACTATGATGTGCACATTAGGCAGACCTCGCTGGTAGGGGGCTCCCCAACCCTTGGAAACTTGATGCACCACATGATGATTTATAATTATATATGCTCATGTGATATTTGTTTTATTTTATGTCAATCTGATTAAAATCATCTGTTACATGGCTCCGCCTGAACATCCGAATGTGCCGCGATCAGGGTCACATTCAAGTGACCTTTAGATGAACCAATCAGAGGTGCGCTGGCAAAAGTTCGGTCCCCTGAACGTGACCCTGACCGCGGCACACTCAGATGTTCAGGCGTAGTACAAATATAACAAAGCCATGTAACATATGATTTTGATCAGATTGATTTTATGTATTGTGTTTGTCTTAACTTGCATGATATTAACCATTATTTATATTTATCATCTTTGTCAAGATACAAGCTCCAGAGAGCTTATGTTTATTATTCACCCTATTTGACGTTAAATCAAGCTTCTTGTATGCTCCAGGTATATCTGTCTACAGACGACCCATATATACGTACCTGCATACTAAACGACTGGTGATCCTTGTAAACGGACAGGCCATATTCAGTCTCCAGCAGGTTTCCATCTTCATCCTGATTTATAAATATCATCACAATTGTTACAGTATGGTGGGTTTTTTTAATTTCAGCATAAGCATCAGATGTTGAGTTTGTTAATATGAATAAATGCAAATTTGAGAGTGAAATGTGTTGGAATTAAGTTTCAACTCTGAAACAGTTCTCATTCTTTCATTGGCAGGAAAGTTTTGGCACTTTATGCAGAATAGGTTAGAAAAGCTGTAACCACTTGTAAACAAAATTTTAAGCACTTGCCAGACCTGCATTGAAATAGAACAAATATGCTACTTGCCAGTTTTTATTCAAGGATTCCTAGCAACAGATTGTTTATTCCGTCTTTGCGTATTGCTGAGTTATCTTCTCTTGGGAGCAGGTATTGATTGTTACGTCACTTGTTTGTGAGAGTAACGTCATCAGTTTTTGAGAAAACGACGTAATTTTCTCGCACAAACCAATGACATTACAATCAATACCTGCTCCCAAGTGAAGATAACTCTGCAATACGCAAAGACGGAATAGAGCTTTCATCTGACCCTTAACCTTAGTGATTTCAGAAGTCAAACAGAATTTTCCCTGCAATTTGAAGAATCAAAACATATGCCAAATAGACCAATCCTTAAAATTTTTCAAGAGTCGAGGATCTACTGAAAGCCCTTGTTTACTTGAATCTTGATTAACCAGGGCTCCATTAACCCTTTCACCCCTATGTAACTTTAACAACCTCTTCCATAAACAGTTCTGGATGATTCCATTATAGTCTACAGTGTTGAAAGGGTCAACATCAAAACCATCAAAAACATCAACGAGGATTTAACTTAATTCAAAATTCTACCCTCCGACATCCAAACCTGAAAACTAAAACCACTACTTTTTGCTGTCTCACCTTTGTGGGGTAGGCTGCCGACGAAGGAAAAGCCGATAGCGATGTCATGTCGGTGTAGCGACGTTCCAGTGTTTTCTTGGTGTTCGGGCAGTAGTGGACACTTCTCACTACCTTAGGTCTGATCAGCGAGCACTTGGTCACAATGCCCTCCACACAAACCATGTTACCAAGGAAACGAGATGTCAGTGTCCTTGGAGTCACATGCTTTGCTCCAAAACTGGTAATGTAAAACATAATCATGTGTATTACACACTGAACTTCTAAAAAAAATTATCTCGTTAATAAAAATAATTTGGGTTTTCTTACCAGTATTCGTTGTTCAATTCAATCAATTTACTTAAAACACTTACAGAAATGTATACATGTATACTTCAATCGCTACTAGGCTTTTATAGTATGATGACATCAGACTCAGTGCAAACACTGCCAGGGGTTAATGCAGGAATAGAAATTTAGTAACTTTGTTGAAATATGGGAAAATGTGTGTTGTAGGTGCATGAATGACCTGTCCAGCAAGGGAGCCAGGGGGAAAGTATGAGGGGGCTGCTTTGAAATTTTATATGCCAATGAGAGTATTCTTTATTCTGGTAAGTTTACTTAACATTTCTTAAATGCGAACAATAATTATTCATTTTGTTTCATTTACCTTCTCTGAAAAGTTTTTTTTTTATATCATCATCTTTCCAACTTGATAAAGAATTCTTCATTCTGAACTGAACTCCCCTTAAAGCCAACAAAGAATTCCTCGTTCTGTTAAACTCACCTTCCCTCAAAGAATTCCTCGTTCTGTTAAACTTACCTTCCCTCAAAGCCAACAAAGAATTCCTCGTTCTGTTAAACTTACCTCCCCTCAAAGCCAAGAAAGAATTCCTTGTTCTCTTAAACTTACCTCCCTTCAAAGCCAACAACGAATTAATCGTTCTGTTAAACTGACCTCCCCTTAAAGCCAACAAAGAATTCCTCGTTCTGTTAAACTGACCTCCCCTTAAAGCCAACAAAGAATTCCTCGTTCTGTTAAACTGACCTCCCCTTAAAGCCAACAAAGAATTCCTCGTTCTGTTAAACTGACCTCCCCTTAAAGCCAACAAAGAATTCCTCGTTCTGTTAAACTGACCTCCCCTTAAAGCCAACAAAGAATTCCTCGTTCTGTTAAACTGACCTCCCCTTAAAGCCAACAAAGAATTCCTCGTTCTGTTAAACTGACCTCCCCTTAAAGCCAACAAAGAATTCCTCGTTCTGTTAAACTGACCTCCCCTTAAAGCCAACAAAGAATTCCTCGTTCTGTTAAACTTACCTCCCCTCAAAGCCAACAAAGAATTCCTCGTTCTGTTAAACTTACCTCCCCTCAAAGCCAACAAAGAATTCCTCGTTCTGTTAAACTGACCTCCCCTTAAAGCCAACAAAGAATTCCTCGTTCTGTTAAACTTACCTCCGCTCAAAGCCAACAAAGAATTCCTCGTTCTGTTAAACTTACCTCCCCTCAAAGCCAACAAAGAATTCCTTGTTCTGTTAAACTTACCTCCCCTCAAAGCCAACAAAGAATTCCTCGTTTTGCTTGCTGTATATGGGGTCTGCGGAGGCAACAAACTCCTTCAGTGCTCTTTGGAATGCCACAAGTTCTTCGAAGGACTCGTTCAACAAGCTGTGTCAAGCAACAATTTCAAGGTTAAACATTTCACAAGGTCTTAACACAACATGACATTCTAATAAATAAATAATACATCAAAAACACGAAAAAACATGTGTCAGTCTGTCAGATAACTCAAAACCAGATCCCGTTTTTTTTCATCTTAGTCTTTATAGCGAGGTTTCACTGTATGTAATTTATATATATGCCAGCACATTCTTGATCATTTACTGAAAATATTTATCCAGACTGAATTGGATGGCATTTCTCAATAATATAGATTTTAACAATTACCAATACACTATCCCCACTTAATGTTGTCATTTATAAGCAAATATTTTTGCCATTTCTTAAATCATTTATTTTCATTTTCTTTCCGAGGCTTCATTTCATTGTTCAAAATTCTGTTCATCAAAATCAGTTCTCGGCATAATTTCTTTTTAATAATCTTATATTTACCATTGAGCTCTCTTTTGATTTTTTCTTCGGAGGTCGTTGATGTTTACTGTGAGTCTGATGTTGTTATTTGTTACCATATCCCGAACTTTCTGTTGGTAAATACCTTGGTCCTCCTGAAAAATAACACAAACAATTAGACAAGAAAATATAATATGTTGACCTTATTTCTAAAATTTTACCTGTCGGTTATGAGTCAAATACTCACCTTTTTCAATTTGACTTAATTAATTTACATAGCAGGACTCTTTTCAGAACTTGATCAGATATAACTCAATATATATATGTTAAGAGGCAGATAAAACATAAATAAGGAGGAGCAAATTTTGCTAGTAAAGTATACAACATTGAATTTCTGTCATAGATTGCCATGTGAACGAAAGATGGTTTCCAGCCTGGTTCCACAACTTACAGTGGAAAGCGGAGTTTTACACCACACCGCCTCACCGGCATACGCATATTATGACGATAGCGACATAAAAAATACTCAACAGCATGATTTGTTTGCTTTTATATCTAGGTCGCATCCATTATCGTACATAATAGCAATCACAACGTCTGAATACGAGTCAAATGCTGTATATATGAGTTTCATGATAACAAAGGGTGTAAAACTGATTTTATGAAAACGTTACCGCAAACTTCGGAGTATATTCACACACGTGTGTTATGACTGTTATCCTACTTTTAGCAAAACTTTCAATGCGTTTTCTTTCTAACATCAGTTGAAAACTCACCCCATCGTCGAGAAAGTCTAGGTATTCACGTTGAATCTCAATTAATCGTTGATCAATTTCTGTTGCCATTTTTGTATGATTTTTTTTCTCTGTCTTTAGTTCCCTCTGTCGCGTTGTTGTCTTTTCTCTGTCTATTTCCCGCCGTTTGTGATCACGTGAGTTGAGAGCCCTAAAAAATCCATTCGGATCTCTTACGTGTTTCCTTCATTTGGTACGCTTATTTTAGACAGCTTCCGAGAAATAAAAACATGATAGAGTTGTAATAAACAAAAATATTATTCAAATACATTGATAAATATTAACTAACACTAAAATGTCAATATTCTAATATTAGCTGAAAGTAGATTTTAGTGAATACTTGTCTTGCAAATATACGTTTTATTTTCTTTGATAATATACTCTAGCCTATCACTCAATTCAAAACATGGCCGCGCCCAGGACAGATGTATGGGTGATGGAAGACCTATTTAAATGAGTGTTTTAGGACAAATCATGTATCAAAGATATTTACGGTTATGGTATTTTGTTTGAAATGGAAGAACAGCATCGAATTAAGCTGTTTGTTTGTAGTGACAATGTACTGGTATGGAATGCAGAAGGTAATGATTTCGCTCTGACTTACCTAAAAATTGACATACTGCAGACTAATGTTAAAATGTTTCTATAGAGATACTGTGTATAGGTCGATAACCGAACATGTACTACGGTCATCAAAGATATCGGCTTTCGAAACATAGAAGGATCTTATTTATTATTATTTTACTACGTTTAGAAATTGTATCTCTGTGCAACATTATTTAATTATTGTACCTTATTTTTTGGTGTGTCATTGTTACCCCCTTGACACACCTACACTATAATGTTTGTATTTAAAAGGGTATGTAGAAGCTCATACAAGGGGTTACTACAGTCCAGCATAAAGGTGACTCAGCTGGTGGCCCCTTTATCTGTTTGCCTCCTTCAGTCCTTGTTGTTGTTTTTTTGGTTTGAATGTTTACTTTTGTACATCTTGATTAGTTTGAATTTTAGCTCTGTTACTCTAAAACTTTAAGTAATCAAACAGTCCTCAAACTTTACACAGTTTGAGGCGTATTACATCATTGTATGGAAGTATGTCTCTGTTGTCTATACTTTCTGTTTTGTCAATTGGATTTTACTCCAGTTTTTTGCATTTGGATCATTTTCCATCTAAGCCGGCATGACTGATACTCCGCATCTTGCTTCATACAATTAGAGGCTTTACACAGGCAATGAACATATAAAAGAAAAAAACAAGTTTCTGAAATAATGTGTTTTTGAAGGGGAACTAAGGGGAACAGTTTAGCAGTATAATGTATCACCTTTTTCCCTTAATTTTCAGACGTGTCTTTTTTGAGGGATGAAATGAGAGTTGTTGGAAACCAGATTGGATGTTTGCCAAGATTCCCAAGACAGAACAGCTTTCTAGGGCTGCCACTCCTTCTGATGCCAGAAGAGGTTTCCTTACTATTAAACAAAGGTAAAGAATCGTATGGGTGATAAACCTTGTCAATTAAGACTGACTTTGGTCATTTAGGAGAGGGACTTAGAGCAATATGTAGTCACCAAACAAAGAAATCAGATATTCTAAAGGAGCCACTTGTCTCTTGTCAAATATAATATATTTACACAACATTGATGGCTATTAAACATTTTGGGTCGAAATTCTTCCCCATTATTAAAAAAAAATAACTCTATATTTTACTAATATCACTGCAAATTTTCCCAAATGTGCTTCAAAAAAAATTTTTTTTCCTGGAAAAAAAAAAAATTATGTGTCGTTCTTATCATACATGTTAGCATTAGGTTTGTGAACTGGTGTGGCATTCGATGTTGTTTGTACTTGAAATCCCTGACCTTGGTGTTGTGTATAAATCATCGACCTATTTAGATGGTTGTATTGAAACTGAAGATCACAAAATCGGTCACAGGTGTTGCAGATCTTGAAAAGGGAGATAATCCACTGGAAACTCCAACACAGCAGCAAATTGAGGAATATCATCAACTATGTGATGAAAGCTATAAGGAACAGGTAAGTTAAACTCCAAGATTACCTCCCCTGGTTTTTCTACTTAAGGATATATGTTACTTTACAGGAACATGTATCTTCATACCAAAAGAGTTCTCCTCTAAAATATGATTTCATCAAAAAATTAATGACTGATAGTGTATCTTTTTGGTAAAATATATAAGATGCATGTATTGATTAATGATAATGCTGATTTAAACGTCAAGGGAGATAACTTGTACACATCTTTGGTGTTTAATTTAAGTAGGAATATATTTTTTTAATATAAAATGATAAATATTGTACAGTATTGGAAGTAACCAGTTTCTGTTAACTCATTCACCCCTGAAATTTCATAATGAACTATTTCAACCTTTGAATTGGAAGAGTTTAAATGTGTCTTCAGGGGTGAATGAGTTAAATAACAACTCATTACCATTTGTGTTTTATCCTTTTCAACCCGGAGAGGATTTTAAAGGCCCATAGTTGAAATTTTTATCATTGCATAGGTATTAAGGTCACAGTTTTCACTTACCTATTATTTCTATGTAATCAGTTTTATGTAGGGTACTTGTCTTGATTACAGTGGCAATTTAACTTATGGTAGAAAAATTTTATAAAAAATAGATACATTAAAATTGTGCTCAAGTTCAAAGGAAACATCACCCAGTTACTGACTATAGTATGGGGTAATGGTTCTTGTAGCCATTGCCTTTGTTACCTAAATTTTACAATAGCCTGTTCCTTTATTAATTGGGTAAATATAGCATAATTTGTGTCGAAATTGGGAATATATTCCTTAGTTTTTTGTCATTATTGGAAAATAAGGCACTTTTTAGCTAGGGGATATCGCCTGTTTTTTTGTGGTAAAACTGAGGTAGCAGTGTACAGTAGAAATGGCTTGACCCTAAAAATAAAGGGCATGTCTCAGATAAACATGGATAGTGAATTCAACCTGCACCGCACACCTACATATATATACATATTTATAAACTACATTTTGATTTTATTTGGTTTAGAAGACTGAATTTTATTTCAAAAACTGTTTTCGCCAGATTTGGGACTTGTGAAAACCATGGTTACCAAATCAAAAAACACCAAAATATGCACACAAAAAAAAGATGATTTTTAAATCAAAATTTGACCCAAGCAAGTAGATATTTCTTTTCTGAAAACCTGTCTGAAATTTAATATTGCCTACTCAGTAACAGAAATACTCACGTTTTAGCATAGGTCATCCCAGTGGATTTTTCACAATATTTATACATGTGCCGAGTACAAAAATAGACTACATGAAAAGCTAGCTTTTGTTGTGTATACACAGATTTGTAAATGCCCAAAACTGTAGTCTCAAACCAAATTCAAATAAAAAAAAAATGAAACATTATGAAGCCCACATAGTCCACTTCATCATGTATATGCCAATTTTTTTTATGCATGTTATATTACAGGGGTTATTCATTGTATAAAAATATCACCCATGGCCATTGTACGCTACTGTACACTGCTACCTGAGAAAAAATAATCACTGGTATCATTCATTGTAAATCACCTCAATTGTATGAAATATGACTGGAGAACTGGCCATCAGAAAGCCATTTAGATGAAGAATATTTTAGATTTTAGATTTTGTAAAGTTGACTTCTTGTGTAGGGGTGTTACATGTTATAATGAAACACAAAGACACCATACAAAGCGTTTGCACAAAATACATGTATATATGATTGATCATATTAAAGGGTCCATTGAAATTTTTCCTAAATTAGGTGGAGCTTTTCCGAGAGGAAAGAAAAAGGGAAATAGAACAAAACCTTCCGAAAATCATAGATGGAAAGAAAGAAAAGAGAAGGAAGGAAATAGAAGAAAAGAAGAAAGCTGGAGAAGAAGTTGATGAGTCTGAGTTAGACAAGGAGATAACAATTGATGTGGACAGTATCCCCATTCCATCCCTGCCACGTAATCACGCCCTGGTCCAGCTCTTCACAGGTAAAAGAATAACAAAATGGCTACATAGAACATTTTGTAGCTTTTTTTAATGGAAAGTGACCTAGAAAAGCTGATTTGTATTTTGTTTCTATATTACTAGGTTAAGTTATAATACATCATCCAAGTTTAACTTTATACACAAACAATGTATGTTTTTAAAAAACGTTTTAAGACTGATCCAGTTGTTAAGCTCTGGCTGAGTGAGTGATTTGTATATTTTACTTGTACACCTCACTCGACCAGGACGTTTTGCCCATCAATAGAGAGCGTCTACACACTGCATCGAATATGTATAACAGTTATACATTCTTTTGTACATCTGTGCAGAAAAACACACTTTTAATTTTAGTACTGCAGTTGTCATGTACGTCAAGATTATTATTTCATTTCCAATTAACAATGATATATTTATGATCTTGTTGTGATGTTGTCATGCATTTCCATAGAGGATATTTCATATATCAAGACATAGATATTATCTTAACAGGCCCCACTTGTATAAAACATCTCAACTCTTGAGATTTTCCTCAACTTTGAGATGTTTTTTATACAAGTGGTCCCAGATCTTGGTCTCATTTTCCAAAACAAAACAAAATGTTTGTACTGGAGCTTTTTTCAGTAAAACGGGTTGCCTGTGGGATGAGATTTTAAAGGTTCAGCACTTGGAAAAGCCTCCTGCTTAATTATGTCTTCCCTTCGAATGAAGGGAGACATATATTGCATTAGTACTGATTCTTTTTCTTCTTCTTCTTCTGGTTCTGGTTCTTCTTAATCGCATCACCCACAGAAGGTGTGCAGTGCACTGGAATTAGGTCACGGTGACTTTCACCTCAAGGTCAAAGGTCAAATAAGTGCAACATTTCAGTAAATTGTTGTCCAGCCCATAAATCTTTAAACCGGTAAAGATATTTTAATCAAACTTAAAGTATACCTGCATCACCCACAGAAGGTGTGCAGTGCACTAGAATTAGGTATTGTGCCCCAATATACAGAGTTATTTCCCTTTGTTTATTTTTAATATCGAAGTTTGTCTGGAGCATAAGTTCATGTTATTTCACCTATGTTGACCAAACTTACCATAGTTATGTATCTTGGGAAGGCAGAATCACTCGCATTAAAATTGGGTCTCGTGCCCCATTATATATAGAGAAATGGCCCCTTTGTTTAATTTTTTAATTCCAAAGTTTGTCCACAGCATAACTTCTATGTTATTTCACCTATGTTGACCAAACTTGCTATAGTTATAAATCTTGGGAAGTAGGAGTGTTGCATCCTAAATTCGTGTCTTGTGCCCCAGTTTATAAAGAGATACGGCCCCTTGTTATTTTTTTATACCGAAGTTTAGCTATTGGCTAATAAGTGGAGACAGATGTTTTTGTTCACAAAAACAAGTTTCTAGTTTCAAGTATCTTACCCCTGGATTGGGATTTCTCTTCCTACATCACTTTTGTTTAGTTTGTTTGTGTTTTACGTCCTATCAACAGCTATAATCATTTGTGGCAGGTTTAAATTGTACATAGGATTAAGGTCGCCTTGACGCTTCCTGTGGTGACAGGGAGTTAGAACCTTGGTTGTGGTGTTCGAGGGCGAACACATTTAATAAGGGGGGAGTAGTGTGGCAGGGTTTAATTGCACATAGGATTAAGGTCGCCTTCTAGCTTCGAGGTAGAGGGAATTTCCATTTAGCTCAGTGGTAGAGCGTCCGACTAGGAACCCGGAGATCGAGAGTTTGATCCCCGGTGGAAGCACACTATTCTCTTTCCTGTTACAAATTTATGGATATGCCAGGCTTTGGTGGTGGAGGAAAGCCGGAGTTCCCGGAGAAAAACTACCGACCTATGGCCAGTACCTTGCGACTTCCCCACCTAGGCATGAATACACGACCCAGTGGTGGATTGCTAGTGGAAGCAGAATGTCAGACGCCCTAACCACTTGGCCACTGCTGCCCCTTCCTACATTACACAGGGGTGATAGATTCTGCTATTCTGCCAAGTTAGACAGTGATATCTACACTCCCGGTCAGGGTCATGGCAAAAATATTTTGGTCTTACCCTATGGTGAAGACGTGGGATTCCCCTGTCATAACGATTGTATGACGTCATGGAAGATTTCTCTGATCTGCAGGAAATTATGAAATCATCGTTTGTATTTCATGAAATTACCACTTGTGTTTGATGCGGGAGAAAATAGTCATTCCCCACTTTAGGAGTAAAACAGAAGAAATCCCTCTGGGTAAGATTCTTAACCCTTTCACCCCTATGTAACTTTAGTAGACATTCCATGCATTGATATGGAGGGGTCCATTATGGTCTACAGTGGTGAAAGGGTTACTAATAAAAGTCTTACCCTTTGCAAAGCCACAGGCTAACATAAAATGAACTTAATTAATAACTAGTGTAACTTGATCAAATATTTGTATATTTTTTTTTGATATTTCATCAAGAATCACCTTGGAAGGGAGAGAAATCTGGAGGAGATATGGCATCTTGGAATTTCCCGTCGACTGAGAAAGAGAAGATCCGCTGTCGTGTGTTCCAGGACCTTTGGGAGAAAGGGAACTTCCTGACGTCCGGAGCGAAGTTTGGAGGAGATTTCCTTGTCTACCCAGGTACACTGTCGGATGTTATCACTTATTGGTATTAATGCACTAAATGAACTACTGTATATGTAATCTCAAATTTATTAAAATTAATAAAATTTTGAAGTAACAGAAATTCAACCTATCTAATTAAGATGATATCTTGGCATCACTCCCGTTTACTGATATATCCTGACATATCAGTAACGAGAGCGATGTGAAGACATAATTTTAAAATAGATTGAAATTTGACCTACTGTATATGTGCAATTGCATTTATGGCTGTGATATCATTTATTTCTTATAATTACAGTAATTAATATTACTGAAGGCCGAGGGCAGAGCCATGACATTGTGGTAAATCCTGTAAGATAATCCATGTTTAGTTTGTTTACAATCTTTTTGTCAATAAAAATAAGTGTTTATTACTTACAGGGGATCCTGGCAAATTCCACTCTCACTATGTGGCTATATGTATGGAGCATCAGAAAAACTTGACCCCACTTGACCTCGTTGCCATGGGCAGATTGGGGTCAAATGTCAAGAAGACTGTAGTGTTGTGTTCATTGGACCAGGAAGACCATCTACAGTACACTTCTCTACAGTGGACTGGAATCACCTGATGTCTACAGGTTAATTGTATGCATAGATTGAAGCTTGTGCGTCATTGGTCAGCGAGGTTCTTTCCCGTTAGTACCATGTTATGTAATAACTTCCCGAAAGTTGAAAGGTTTGTTTTTTTGGGCAATCCTCGTAGTGCAAATGTCTAGGATGAACAAGCGACCTTTTGAAAGGTCAAGGTTATGTATGCCTCTGAAAAGGTGGTGATCCTGATGGGCGTCGACATGTGTTAGCAGTTGATGTGTCGTAATTATCCTGCCTACACATCCACTCCAGGGGATAGATAGCCCATGAGAGTTAAAATGTACAGCATTTTGTGAAAATATCAAATAGCCTTTTCTTGCACCTCTGACAGAGATGTCCAACGTCATAGCCCATGCTAGAATTTTCTATCTTGTCCAACCTGTCTTGTACATTGACGCGACATTTCGCAGAATTTTAACACTGTGATGTATTCATCCGCGCGTTAACTGCATGAAATTGGCAATTGGCATTATAAATGTTCTGATTTGTCGTTATATGTATAGTTTTTATGTTGTTAGATATTTGATGTTTTAGATAAAATATAATCTACACTGAAACACATTGTCGTCTATGTTAGGACAGACTACATTTTTAACTGAAAGTGTTGAAATGTAGCTGAAGAGTGAAGAGATCATTTGAGGCCCAAGACGGGATACTTAAGCTACATTTCAACGCTTCCGGGTAAAAATGCTGTTATGAGTTAATGGTAGTACATTAACTCATATAGCTCAGGGGTAGGGATACTGGGTATATGTATATGTGGAGGCATGTACACCATACCCAACATAAGTAACTTGTATTTTGCCTAATGTTTAATTTAAAAAGTAATTTTGAATTATTCAAATGATTCAAGTGCTTTTGTTTTCATTTGCCTGTAACATCTAGAACTCATTGTGTATACAAGAAAGAAAAAAAGTTTGTAGATGGCAGTTTTTACCCATTGATGTGAAAGGAAAAATCAGATTTGCCAGCTACATCTGATAGCCTGCAAGAGGCATTTTAAGATGGGAAAACCTGTAAAAGCTTGTTTAACCATTTCACCCTTATGCAACTTTAGTAGACTCTACCATGCATTGATCTGGATGAGTCCATTATGGTATACAGCGGTGAAAGGGTCATGCCCAAAAGAAATATGCAGATTATTATGGTAATTGTGTACATTATTCAAGTTCCAATGTGAAAGGTCAAGGTCAACATATCTGAAAATGATGAAGGACTGTTGAAACAGAGTTAGACATGAGTCTGATGTTGTATTGTGAATATTTTTTTAGAAATCTGCTGGTACCGTATGTGGGTATTGGGAATTCAGTCCCATAAAATTATAAACCAATTATGCAATTGATCATTGACCAGTTTACGACCTCCTATAACAAACTGATTATTGATTATGATTTTAAACTGATAGTCCATCACTATAGTCATGTGACAACTTTTATTATAATTAACATCCTAGAAATGTTGATTTGTTGTTAATCTATTAAAAATTCTCTTCAAATAAACTTTTGAAATATATTTGTGTTTTATTCTCTCGGAGTTTCAAAAACAGAAAGTATAGACTTAATTATAGGTAATTTCATTTCTTTTACTAATAAGATTTGTTCATGGCCATGGAAATTCCACACAAGGGGATTTCAAATGGCATGAAACCCAAGACTTGTCTTTGATTTTGCACTAATTTAAAATTGCACGAGTGGAATTTCCCTATCAAACACCCCCGTACATGAAAGTATTTTTGCTTTCATTCCAGTAACCAGGATTTGCTCAGAAACCACAAAACATTTGCCAGTTTTTGTATCAGAACATTCCCCATTTCATGATGTCATGATTGTTTTCTCATTGTTACGTCACACAAGTGACATGTTTTCTCATTGTTACGTCACACAAGTGATATGGGGTTTAAGATTACCGGTAATATAACTTTCTCCTACCTCACCCCCAAGGGGTTGGGAAATTCTATTATTCTAAACTTTTTTCAAGTAAGGAAATGGTTATTTTTCTCCAATCATTCCAATATTTTGTTGAAACAGTTTTGGCATTTCTGTAAGATAATTTGCTTAAATATTATTTATTTTTGATGAAACCTGGTAAGTTTGTACAGTATACAAAGACCAAGACTTTGTTTGAAGCGAATTAAAATCCATGGATATAAATCAATTAGCATACTGCACTGTGATTTGTTACTTTACTTTAATCAATATGATGGGATTTTGATGAGACTTGGTCAACCCTTGCACTATAATAAAGCCTGGCATCAAATCTGAAAGAAATCCATGCCATCAGGAATTAACTTAGTTTTGGTTGCCGGAGAGGAATAGTGAAGGGAGACAATACCTGTAATTAATAAAAAAAAATAATCAAGATTGATATCAACTCATTCACCCCTGAAGAAAAATTTAAATTTGGACTCTTCCAATTCAAAGGTTGGAATAGTTCATTATGAAATTTCAGGGGTGAATGAGTTAAAGGACATATGACATACTTTCTGCTAGTAAATAAGTTAAGTATGTTTTCTCCTTTCATTGAGTCCTGGAGATTTTAAGAAATAATTTAACTTAAAGAAGTAATTTATGTTTCAATGTGGGGGAAGAAGTTAACATTATTAAGACTGAAAGACAAATATTGTTCGGTAATTTATTTTGTTTTACGTATATAAACTCGTATCAATTTTTTTTGAGAAGATAAACAAAAACTGGGAAAAAAATAAGTGTTTCACAGATTTTCTGAGGTTGTGAAATTGAAGCTGAAAATCTGTTTTGAGTAATGCAACACCTTTTCAATTCCTAAAATTAACTTCATCCCCATGTTGATTTCTTACATGAACATCAAACTTCTGAGAACTCTGATTAGAGCAAATAAAAAAAACCAGGAAATGTTTTTATTAATAAATTAAAATTCTTTATTTTTTCATCATGTAAAAAAGTTCACATGAAACATATATAAAAAGTTTAAGGCAATGAATAATTCATATTGAACACACTGGGTGATGTAAGGACATTGATATGTCTTCAAAAGTTTGGCAAGCGGGATAACTTATATACATTTATACAAACCTGAATCTTATAATATTTAATCTTGCTCCAGTTGTCATTCATTCTATGTATATATATATATAAACTAGCATTGTAATCTATCTACAATGCTTGTTTCAACAAGTATACATACAGAGGGCCTGTATATTTTGTACATCACATTTACATTACTTTTCTCTTCATTTCTTTATAACAAAACTGACAAAAATGTCAGTCTCCATGCATGATTTTGAACTATACATATATGTAATTTGTAAATTATAAGAAGAATCTTTCTCTTTCTTCTATCATAACATTGATAGTTGTCCGATAGAACAACGAACAAATATTGCCGATATCAAAAATAAACGGAAGTTAAAAAATAATTGTTGAATATAAAAGTATTTATACATTTATATATATATATATATAATGGAATGGCTAAAATTTGATCAGAAATAATGTAATTTGTACTGTTTTGGGATTTAATTAAATGCATTTCAAATGAGGAATATTATCAAAATGTTCACCACATTTCATAAACTGTAATGTGCATTTTGTAGCTCTTTTACATCCAGGAAGAATATATAGTGTTCCAAAAAAATCAATAGACAAGGAAAATTTCATGCATCAAAAACATTTTCCCAAAAAGAATTACTTAAGAAAATATTAATACTAATTGTTATTTACTTTTAGGGACAGGATTAAAATTTGCTATGCATCAAAATTACTGCAATACCAGTTCATACGAATAGATTTGTCTACCATTAGAAAATAAATCAGATTTGTCTTCATGCAAAAATAAATCAGTAAATCTAAAATCAATGTGATCCTCATCCAATCATTTATGGTACAAATAAAATATGTTAAAAAATGAATTCAAAAGATACTGTATTTATCTCTTCAACAAGAAGAGATGATTGCACAAATAAAAATTGTACTACGCATAGTACTGGCAGGAGTCTGTACATCCTATGACACATAGTAAGTATGTGTTGGCTAGCGTTAGGGATATCATTTCCCTGTCATCAAGTTGCATCAACTAATGGACTTTGTATACTGCCGGATATCTTGACAACACTAACTAAACTATCACATTGATTGTGACAGTCAGGTATTGATATTGTCCCTGATTCAGCCAATCACAACGCTTGTACTGTCAGCTGGTGATACAACTGATTCAGCCAATCATATTGCTTGTACTGTCAGCTGATACAACTGATTCAGCCAATCACAATGCGTGTACCGTCAGCTGATACGACTGATTCAGCCAATCACATTGCTTGTTCTGTCAGCTGATGCGACTGATTCAGCCAATCACATTGTTTGTACTGTCAGCTGATACAGCTGATTCAGCCAATCACATTGTTTGTACTGTCAGCTGATACAACTGATTCAGCCAATCACATTGTTTGTACTGTCAATCAGCTGATAATGTCATTGATTCAGCCAATCACATTGCTTGTGCTGTCAGTCAGCTGATGATATAACTGATTCTGTCAATCACACTGTTTGAACTGCAGCTGATGATACTGGGATTGGATTTTAGTTGTTGAGATATCACTCTTTCAGCTGATGATGCAACTGATATGAGCCAATCACATTGTTTGTACTGTTAGCTGATGCAACTGATTCAGCCAATCACATTAATTGTACTGTTAGCTGATGTCACTGTTTCAGCCAATCAGATTACTTGTACTCTTAGCTGATGTCACTGTTTCAGCCAATTACATTGCTTGTTCTGTCAGCTGATGACAGTGTGAAAGGGTTGGAGTTGTTAAGATATTTCAGCCAATCACATTGCTTGTACTTTCAGCTGATGACAGTGTGACAGGGTTGGAGTTGTTGAGATGTTTCAGCCAATCACATTGCTTGTACTAGTACTGTCAGCTGAAGATGGCTACACCATGTGACTGATCAAATATCCATTGCCTTCTTGAGGCTGCACCATATCTGCCATTTTATTGTCACTTTTTTCTGGCTAGCACCTTTTCAACATCAATCATGAGATTGCTCATGACTTGCAACGCAAGGTTTAGCCAATGCTATAAGCGTCTTAGGTTATTTTTACTCTTGCGACCACCGATGGAAGTCTTTAACCGTTTCGTAGACGCCGGAACACAGGCTTTCTCAAAGTGGAAACTGTTAAGACATTTCACACAAAAATCAAAGCCACAATTAGTCTGAACACACATTCCTCTTTCCTGAACATCCAGCACTTTGGATGGACCCTGACACTTCGGACATCTCCGGAGGCTTTCGTAGTTGGCAAGAGTTGATGCTACCTGTAATTACACAGGAGAGTTGGATAACCCAAAGAGAATGCTTATGTAAAAGTATTGTGGTATATTCAGAAACAGAGGTAATTAAACTCATTCATCCCTGAAGACACACTTAAACTCTTCCAGTTCAAAGGTTGGAATAGTCCATTAATGAAATTTCAGTGGTGAATGAGCTAAAGGTAGAGTGATAAATTTTAATGTCATGTTTAAGTCAATGAAAGTGCTAATTCAAATGGTAAAATGGTATTTTGCAAGTTCAAGGAAAAAGTCATATTTCAATTTTACAGAGTTAATTGTGTACAAACATCTATTGGTCTATATAAGAACAATACCATGCAGAGTAGCACACGTGCTTTTATATACTAACCGAGTGAAACAGGTTCTGTGGGACCAGAGTGTTGCTGGCCCTTGACGAAGGCACTGTCTGTTGTAGCATGCCAAAGGTACGTTCTCCTCCTGTTAAACCCCTCTCTATCCGGTATTCTAGGCGCTTCCCTAGATTTTCCTGTACGAAAACAAATTTATACATTGGTATTCATCAAAAAAAATATAATACATATATACAATTTTCTGTCCTGGATCATTGCCTCCTCTACACAGAAGAATTTCTTAAAATTCAGAATACGGAAATTTATATGTATGTCTGATGCTTTTGAATTCCATGCTTTTAAGTGTACTACAGATGGTAAATGAATGCCAATTACTTATTAATATTGACCAGATTAACCTAATTGTCGTTTTCTCCTGTTTTATTTAAACATTTTCAATTACTTACAAGTGCTAAGATGAGAATAATGATGAAATAATTTAGAAAATGAGCATGGATTAATTTGATTTATTATACGCTTGAGAATATCTCGCAATCACATTGGTGGATCCGTTATACATGTGACCAGGTCTCAAAAACTTATGTAGACTGGTAATCCGGTGAAACGATTTCTAAAAATAGCCTATATGGAACATGTCGTAGTGCTTGCCCAGTTTGAGCGGAACGCGACGACAACAGAAGATGGCTGCTGGTGAATGCTTTGTCTCCGTTTCATTTGAACATTTCTAAAAACTACTCTAAGATGAAGTTAACCCAAAAACGCCACCGAACATGCAGTGCGTGTCGTCCAGGCTTATCTTAACAAAAAAACTTGACAATGTTTTTCGAAAGCCATGTATGATGCCGAACTGTTGGATTCAACCCTGTGACTGGTTCCAATAAATACGAATTCAGTACCTTGAGGCTTTTTTTTATTGTTGAAGTACATATATGTATATAATAAAACAGTTATCGGCCTTTGTGCTGGTAAATATGATGTGATATGAACCCGAAAAAGTGATATTGACAGAGGCTTATGAAATGAGACAAAGAAATATATGCTATAGTCTTCACAATTGTTATAAATGAGTATATATATATACATACCTTCTCTTGCTTACTGCCATGTGCCTTCTGCTGTCGCTGGAGGTACTGGCCACGACGATCTGTCGCCTGTTTGTCACCATCACAGATGGATTTCCAGTCCTGGCTGACTTGATAGAAACTAGAAAAAGCAAGAATTTACCATGATTATGTCTTACTTCAAGACCAGAACTTTACCTGTTGTCATAGTCTGGTATTTTTTGTACACATCTTGTGATACAACATACTAGTTTTGGATATAATTTCAGTGACTTGTAATTATAATATTTAAATGTCGAATAGACCACACCAAACTAAAAAAAAAACGCAGAACTAATCCGGTTGAAACTTGATCAAAATGCATTTCAATGAATTTATTAAAACAATGAAAAGATAAACCATTTTTTTTATCATTTTTTGATTTGTATCATTTTATGATTTGTATATATGGACCTTTTGATGTATACCAACCTGCAGAGATCTTGGGGATCTAAATAGTCAAAGATCACAGATAGAGCAGAAATGTTCCTTATGGACAGTTCCGACACTATGTCCACACACAGTAGTCCCATCTTGCGGCCTATCAAACGATCCGGTTCCTTCGGTGAAAATTTCTGCAATATTTCATTGAACCGGTCTGCTAGACTAGAATCACTCACACTGGTACATGTAGATTTGAGTTCACTTCCTTTAGATGTACATGGGTTGTTTGTACAGTTGCATTCGCCCGAAACTTCCTGGTCACCTTCAAAACTCAGTCGCAAATGTGGAGAATCTGTCAGCAATATCTGTGATTCCGGACTTTGGATTTTTGGATCAGTTATTCGTTCTTCAAAACTTGACGTTTCTTCCAAGTCAGTATTGTTTCCATCATCTGAACAGTCGGCATCTTCGCCCTCAAAGTTCAGTCTATATTGCGGTATAGATCTGTAAGAGGACAGGCTAAATTCAAGCTTGTCAACCAAACTCACATCTCGCATTTCCCAATCAGTATCATTTTGAGGGTCTAGCCTGCTACTGACTTCAGAAAATGATGGATGATACTCGACAGTTCTTTCACATGGGACTGGACTGAGAGGAGTAAAGGCTAGCTGACGTCCAGGATGCTGGAAAGGCGCACAACACACTGGTGTTTGAAATTCATGTAGACTAGAATTATCGCTACTCCCAAAGCTATTGAGCGAGGTGTATCCACTGTCGTTCCTCGGAGACAGCGAGTTGAGGTGGTGACCATAGTTACGTTTGTGGTAAGGGGTACTTGTCACACTCTGAGTACGAAATCTGAGGTCAATGTCAACTTGATTTCGTTTCTCCAAATTTAAAACAGCACAAGAAGACTGGTTACTGTTTATGCGTGGGTAAAATGTGTGAACCGGTATTCCAGACATCGTGCTGCAAACAAAAAAGAAAATCTTTGATTTAGTTGATTTTTTAAGAGGAATCCACAATACAGACAGTTAAGCAGAGAAAAAAAATGTTTTGGTGGTCATTACTTAGGTTTTAGAGGTAATAGATTGTAAATATCAAATAGTGTTCAAATAGAATCTACAACCATCAAATCTACGCCACTGTACCCAAAGCAGGACACTTTTTAGATAAATATTTATGTACTATATATATATGCATACTATCAATTCCAAAAATGTAGGCCCTTGAACAGGTGTTACTGTATCCTGTAAGGAATACTTTGGTAATTGGCTAATATTGGGACCAATATAGCGGCCAATAAAGCTTATATACAGTTATTTTGTCATAAAAGTGTCATCAAGTGTAAATTGCATACATAAAAGTACTTCTTTGCATTGCATGGCAGTTGCTTTGGCCGGGTACAATGAGGCTTACCCTTCTCTCCATATTCGTTTAGGGCTGATTAGGGCCGGCTGATTATACCCATTACAGGAAATCAAAAGTTTTAGTTTAAAGTTTATGTGGGCCAGGCCAGTGAGCATGAAGGACCAGTGTTTGTGAATGACATATTGTCATACCAAAGTTCTGTCTCTACGAGTCAGATCTGCTGAAATTTAATATAGTTTAGTAATTGTGTAAATTTATCTATTTTATATGTTGAACATAAAAAATGTGAAATTTATCATTTGTCCAGACCAAAGTCGATAGTTCGCGTTATATGTTTGTTCACAAATAGTACCATGATTTTTCTTTTTCACAATTTCAAAACAAGCATGCGTCAAAGTTGGATGCTTACGATGGGCGGGCGCGAATATATCAGCCACGTCAAAATATTTATGTATTATTTCAAGACCAAGCTCTTTTATTCGGTAAATTAAATTGTATTTGATTCGGTTATACATATTTTTAATCTTCAATGGGGTTTTTTTATGATCGAGAAAATGATAAGTGTTAATTAAACAAACGTTTACGCAAGCGAGCGGGAATGCTATGTAGGGCAATGATAGATATGAATGAGGTTGCAAGGCTCGAACAGGAGAAACTCACCTTCAATGAAAAATGATTTTCTGACATAAATATCGATAATCGTAACACTTCAAAGGGATACATGGACATAAAATGTAATAATATGTTGCTGAATCGATCCGATCAGTGTTATTTGAAGAATAATCTTAGTAGCGTCCTCTCCTGTTGTTGTCATAAAATTTTGTGTTCAAATCGGTCGCCAAAAACGTTGAACCAATCAGAATCCAGGATTGAACTGACACAAGGGTTTCTAGACTGTTGTTCCTTTGGGATGATAAAGTTAGAGAGGTCCGAAAACCCATATGTTTACATCTCGCGAGAATCAGTCTCGAGAATTAGTAAAGAAAGCTTCCGGTTGTAAACTCACATGTTGAGATTACAACTAATTGCGAAGAAAAACTTTCCTCTGCCAATATACAGAACTTTATAGGGTAAGTAACATTATCTACTGTTTCATGGATACAAAACAGCTCAAACACAAATCACAACAAATAAAAAACCCCACATACAACATAATTAAAATCGTGAATTTACAACACAACAAAAAAATAAATCCACATAAATNAGTATTGGGTGGTATTGGGTAGTATTGGGTAATTAGACGCGCCCGGAAGATCCTGTTTTTACCTTTTTTGCTTTTTCCGGTTGACTGGTAATCAACATCCGAAGATTATCACCAGGTGCGCGAAAGGGAAAAATAAAGCAAAGTTTGATCTAAAGCATAGGAAGGTGTGAATATATAGGGAAGGAAGGAGAAAAGGAAAGATGAAAGTATGAGGCGACAGTGGTTGATTTTCGAGACATCTCCAGGGTTTGGGCATTGCACACATCTCTTGGCAAGCTGTTCTACTGGATTACAGTCCGAGGGTTGAAAGAGAATCTGGTAAAGTCTTTGGTGGTTTGGATCTGCCGGTACTGGTCTTCACGGCCTCTGCTCCGAGATTAGCTGATCCTTCGGGTTGATGGATACCATGTTGTACTGGATTTTATAAAATACTGTCAGTCTGGCGTCAGCACGTCAGTGTTCCAGTGTCCTCCATCCTAGATCTGATAGCATGTCCGTGACACTGGAGGTGTTATTATGTCTATTGAAGACCCACCAGGCTGCACGTCGCTGAACCATTTCGATCTTATCCACTTGGGCATGTTTCTTGTTGGAGTGTGGGTGGAAGTCTCTCACTGCTTTTCGGTCGAACCAGTCCCAAATAGGCCCTTTCCTTTACCTTCTTGGATCGGACCTTTAGGTTTCTTTTAAGAAACCCAAGCGTCTGGTTGGCCTTTCTGGTTATGGAACTGATGTGATTGTTTCACGTCAAGTCTTTGGTGATTGTAATTCCAAGATACTTGATGGCTGGTAATGTATTTAGCTGTCGACTGTACAAGAAATAAGTATGGCGGATGGTGTTAGTTTTTCTGGAGATGGTCATGACTTCACATTTTTCCGGATGAAACTCCATTTGCCATCTATCTGACAAGTTTGCTAGTCTGTCGAGGTCGGATTGGGGCTTGCGAATGTCTTGAGTGTCTTCATTCGTTTTTATGGTAAGATACATCAGTGTATTGTCCGCAAAGATTCTGATGGTACTATGCATTACATTCTCCAGTAGATCGTTGATGTACGCTAGGAACAAGGCAGGTCCGAGGACCGAGCCCTGTGGCACGCCGGATAGAACTGGGGTTTCTTCAGAGGCTTTTCCATTAAGGATGACTTTGTCTGTTATCTGCCACTGAGGAAAGATCGTGTCCATCCTAGTGTGTTACCCTTCACACCATACTTCGTCAGTTTGAATAGGAGATTATTGTGAGCCACTTTGTCAAAAGCCTTCGAGAAATCTGTCCCAATTACATCGGTCTGAATTCCTTTTTCCATGCTGTTGACATATTCCGATGTGTATTCATTAAGTTGTGACTCAGAACTCTTCTTCGCTCTGAATCCGTGCTGGAGTAGGTGAAAAATAGCCTCTTCTTCACAAAAAATGCTGTTCCTGCACCAATCTCCCCTTCAAACTATGTCCATAATCATCATTATTGATGGAGGGTATAACTCGTATGACGGATGAACAGCTCTGTTTCTGTATTCATACGTTGTAGTTCCCGGTTCTAGTTTTTATACAGCTCTAACTATATCCCAGAATATAATTTAGGTTAATCACAGCAGACGACAAAAAGTTAAGCATTTTTGTCTCACCGCCACGATGTGGAAACAAGAGTTAGGTGTTGCTTTTCCAGCGACGGCATCAACATTAAGTTTCTATGTCTACCAAATAATTGACCTACTTCATCACATTGAAGATTATGTCAATGTAGGGTTGTGAGGGTGTGTGCATGACAAAGAAGGATGTGTAGTCGTGTGTATAAAATACTAATGATTTTGAGAGTGAAGTATGGTTTTAAAGGTGTCAATCGATTCTAAAGTTACCAGGTCAGGAGGCAATTTATTCCACTCTGGGATAGTTCTAGGAAAGAAAGAGAATTTACGACAGACAGCTTTAATTTACAGTGAGGAATCTGATAGGAGAGATGATGGGAATGTCAGGATTGTCGTAACTGTGGTGTCAATTGGAGGTCTTTATTGATGGCAACTTTACTGTGTGATATTTTATACACCATAGTAAGATGGGCGTCCTTACGTCTATCAGCGAGGCTGGGCCAGTTAAGATGATGGATCATGTCACTAGCGCTTGAGGTGTTATGATAGCGGTTAGTGACAAATCTTGCAGCTCTACGCTGTACCATATCAAGTTTGTTTATATTACCTTTTTGGTAAGGATCCCACACAGAACTAGCATATTTTAAATATGGGCGCACTAGAGATTTGTATGCTTGTTCTTTAATATTTTTGGAGTTTTTGCGTTTAAGTTAGTTTCTCTGAAAGTATAAGTGCTAAACCAACCAAACTTTGACCATATATGCATCTTAGGTAGTACATCTTAACCCATGCATTAAATGCTGGATGCAGCCTACTTTTCATGGTCCATTGACTTTGTCAGCATCTCCATCAACATTAAATTTTTGCTTTTATGTTAGTTTCTCTGATATGTGCATTGATGGTCAAAGCGGGGCATAGATACGCGAGACACATTAATCAGAATGGCTTGTTTGTTTAATTCCTCAACCTGAAAAAATTATTATATTATACATGTATAACATCTATTCTCGTTTAACAATTTATTTAATCTATACACTGGTTAAATTCACACTGATCTCAGATGGTATAGAAGTTTTGCATTCCAACAATATAATCTTAAACAGACCTATTTCCTTCTGTCAAATTTCATAACAATTTTGTGTAAAATGAGAAAGAGAACTGCAACAGCCAGACTGGGCTTCGAATCCTGGACTCTGAACTGTAGACGGACGCTTTACCAATTGACTTCCTGGTTGCTGATGGATGACCCAATCCAGTTCTGCTACAATCCTCTTTCCTTTTTCTGAGTTTTCCCTCACCCCCTTCCCTATGACATCACTATTTACAACCCAGGTTCGGGTATCACCTTGCCAAGGCTAAGTAAAACCCAATGTTTGAAAAAAGGGTCAGCAAGCTTGCCAATTTCGTAACAAGGAGAAAGAGAAATGCAGCGGCCAGACCTGACCATGATTCGAACCTAGGAACCTCTGAACGCTAGACAGATTTAGCTCTACCAATTGAGATACCAGGTCGCTGATCGACCCAGTCAAGCTCCGCTACATATGTATAACATTTATCTTATTCAGATAAGAAGATATGGACCAAGCGAAAGATGATGCTGCCAAAACTGCTATCCCAGGGAAGCAAGCGACCATGATTTACATCTGTGGAGGTATGGTACACATAATTCCCCTAATCTGCTGAATATTTTGTATGCACAATATGGATATCATGACATTGAATGTACATTATGAAGACAAAATTTATAACTAGGACAGAATTCAAAAATATGTAAGGTATATGAATTCAATACAATTCCTGGTCTTTATTATCCCCTCACAACGAAAGTTCAAGGGGAAATAGGATTCCGTTCGTACGTGTTACACTCTTTGTCATCGCTCTAGCGACTTCATTCCTTCACAGATTTTCTTGACACTTCATACAAGTGTGTAGTATGACAATGCCTTGAACAAGTGCATGTTTCCGGTTTCTATGTTCAAGGTCAAGGTTACTGCTACTATTTTTAGAAAAACTTTGTCATCGCTCTACCGACTTCATTCCTTAAGGCAATTTCAACAAACTTCATACAAGTGTTTGATATGGCAATGCCTTGAACAAGTTCACGTTTCAGGTTTCTACGTTGATGGTCAAGATCACTGTTACTATTTTTAGAAAAAAAACTTTGTCTTAGCTCTAGCGACTTCATCGCCTGTTACATATTTCACAATGTGTGAATGGGAAGGAGTTTGTATCACTTGTGAAGCCTTGTTTAATCATGTATTGTTTGTTTTCTAGAATGTCACCAAGAGAATGAGATTAAGGCACGTGATCCTATCCGATGTCGAGAATGTGGATACAGAATCATGTACAAGAAAAGGACAAAGCGGAGTATCCTTGACTTAGTTTACAGAATATATACTTACCCTGATTTCTTGGTTTTACAATCCACCATCTCCTGTTATGACCGTTGTCTGCACGTACATCCCTGCAGCCAGGAATGCTGTTATACTTGTGTCATCACAATCCTGTAGTGTTTCTGTTTCATTCTACAATAAACCACTAGCCTCTTGTTTTCAATTTTGATATGCCCGTTAATGGCATGATGTATTTGGTATTGCAATGTCCGCCTAACAAGGTATTATCAATATCTTTGTTATCACCTACATTCGGTCACATGTCCCACTATATACAGTATTATGTAATAGGAGAGGGGGGGAAATGAATGGCCAGACTGGGATTTGAATCTGGGACCAGCCGAACTCTTGACAGACACTTTAGCCAATTGAGCTACCTGGTTGCCAGATATTGATCCAGTCCAGTTCTGTTACATTCCTCCTTCATTTTACAAAGTCTTCCACCCCAAAAACACACAAGACCCTTTACCACCTTCTGAATGTATATGTTGTTGGGTACCGTCTAAATTTAATGTTCATTAATAAGAGACCAGGATTCAAATTTCGGGACCTTCCAATCTCTAGGCAGACGCTCTACCAATTGAGCTGCTGGTTTGTTCATTTTGTTCTGGCAAAGTTTTTCAATCATACTTGCCAACCCTCCCGATTTGGAGTGAGGCTCTCAATTTTG